GTGTATATTTACTGTTTCTATTATTTATAGATTATACATTATTAGGCATATCTATTGCTATACATAATATTATCTAATCCCAATTATAGATTTACTTACACAAGCTATATCGATATATATACCAAAGAACTCCTTACTTGTATAACTTGTATAAAAGATATCTATCGCACTTTCTATTAATAGAATAGCTTCAATAGAATCTCTAATCAATATATGTAATATCGTATTGACTAATAACTGATTAAATATCTTTTGGTTATTTACAAATTCTGAACTAATGAAAAATGCTTCTTCTTTAACATTATCAATATCAAGATCTACAAAGAACTATCCCATTTTGATTTCTGAATTAGATTCTACATTAATAGCTTTTCCTTTATATTCGATTAACTATTAATTGTAGCGCTTATTAAATATATTATTATTATTATTCTTAATCTTTTCCCGATATTCACATCGATTTTTATCCTATTCCTCCTGGGAATACTTTGTTGATTGATATCCCTCTTTTTTGTATATCCAACAACGATTTCGTTGATTCGAAGAATTAGATTATTATCGAAACCTATTAGTATTACCCTTGAAGCTATTGCTTCTGAAATTATCGCTTCTGAAACCTCTAGAACCACCTGAACTATTCCGGTTATTATTACTACGAAATCTTCTGTTAGTGAATAATACTATATCTTCTTCCTTATACAATCTCTTTTATATATTAATAGATTATCGCAATTGGTTGATTAAACCAAACATCTCCTTTTTAGAATCGAAACAAGCTAGGTTGTATGCTTCAATATCTTTATATACTAGTATAAGCTTATTGTATAGATATAACATCTGCCGTATAACGGGATCAAGTCGATACTATAGTATGTGTAGCTACTTGATCATAATAGTAAGATACTCACTAAATGGCTTGTTTTTATACTCCTTTTTAATTGATTTGAGAATAATACTATTCCATTTAAATAGTATATTGTATTGGTACTCTTTTCCCTCAAAGTTACTTTGTATATAAATGTAAAGCTCTCTGAATATAGGTAATAATGCTTTGTAATTGGTATAAAAGAACTCGAATGTGTTGTTCTTTAGTATAATTGGGAATGCCTTATATTGTATATTTATAGGCACTTCCGCATATTATGAGATTTCGTAGAATATTAAGAGTTTTGAAATCGAAATTATCGTTGTCCTCGTTATATTTCTCTTTATTGGTATAGAATTTCGATAAATTGATAAAAGATTGTATATTAGAATATATCAATGATTTTTTATTTCTATTACATCAACCTCTATTATCCTTTCTATTATTATCATCATTATTATCATTATCAGGATTTCCTTCTTTATTATCTTTCTTATTATCTTTTCAATTATCTTTATTGTATTTAAAGTTATTATTAATAAATCTATTAATTATTCCAAATCTAAATTTAGATTCTTTAAGATTACAATTTTTCAGAACTTTCTAAACTTGATTTTTCGTTTACACATTTATAGTAGATCTATATAATTGGTTATATAAAGCTGTAAATACTTTAATATCTAATTTCGATATCCATATCCTTTGGATACATAATACCATATATAGCTTTTGTATATTTAACTAATAAATCTTTGTGAATTGTCTATTTATAAATATACTGAAGTTATTATAAAAGATCTCAACTAGCTTATCGTTGTTAATATCCTTATAGTCATATTACTTGCACTTGAATTTAATATATTTAATAAATTCCTTAGAGTCAAAATCAACAATTCCATTATCAGTCTGTTATTCCTTTAATAGGCTTAATCATTCTTTGTAGTGCTCCTCTTCCTCTTTTATATATAATTCCTTATTGATAATCTTAAAGATAATCAGAATATTATTACTATCTAATATAATAGAATATGTATAGGGATATTTTGAAGGTTATAGGTATTTCGAAGGTTGTAGATAGATTGTAGATATGAAAAGTATAAAAGAGTATATAAAAGGTATTTAAATAAAGGGTTTATTTTATATAATATGTAGTACAAAGATAAATATATAATAAATACAAAATCAATTCGTCATACTTGACTAGTTGATTCTTTTGAATATATTTTTCTGATATAATTATTTAGAGTATATTCTTTAGTATAATAAGGAGAGAAAACATATTGTATCTAATATAATGATATCTTTCTTTGTAATCTCTTCAGAATTTCTATCAATTCTAAATACTACTTTTAAACACCTAATACTTTCTAATAGAATCCAAGGTCCTAATTTGTAATATTACTAATTAGTATTAGTATCAATTTGATATTGATTAAAGTGTAAAGTACTTTATTCTTATCAATATGATTGATTGTATTATTCGTCTTGATTATTATTAACTATGGAAAGCTAGTACTTGATATAGTAGAAGTGCTAGCGCTAGTGCATACGCTAGTATATACGCTAGTGCAATACAGTGCCCTCTTAGATCACATGATCGATATCCCGACACCTGTTTCTTAGATGACACCATTGTTTTTTCCCACTCCATAATATGATATTTAAAATATCAAATACTAAAAAACCTCTATAATCGATACTAACATCTTGCGTTACCAACCTGTTCACTTTCAACTCCCAGGCGAATCAGCGACGCCATTGACATCATCATCACCTCTCATAACGTTTACTTCAATCATCTTCATCATGTCGTGCTCTATCTTAAAGACTATTCTATTCCCTCGGATCTGCATTGCTACGCGGTTTCGCACTATTACTATACGGGCCGGCGATCTCGACAATCTGATATTCGAGGAATACATGTACGTAGTACTTTTTATTATAGAATTGGTTTCGGATTGTTCAAGTCTGAGTCGAAAGCGCTGAATGAGCTGCACAAAAGTCTCTTGTATGAGTGGATTGTCTGTTGAGGTATAAGCCTACTGGAATGTATCAATCTATGGACTCTAGGGGCGAGGTCCCTCTTCTGTTTTATGGTGAGGTTTCTCTGTTCGGCAAATCTCATTGTAGGATTAGCTCGGTTTGGAGTGTTTGTAGACAGGGATGCGAAGACTCAACACCTGTACGCGGTGCATCCTACAAACCTCTAGCTCTCTCTTGAGAGTCTGCAGAGCTAAGATTGAGTTATAAATGGAATTGAAAGAATTGGAAGGAAAAAGGTTTAGAGATATAGCAAAGGATTATATTATGATTTTATGATAATAATATTTACAAAAAGTTGAATATTAGTTTTAAATGTGGATATAAAGGTTATAGAAGCTTTAGTTAGATTCAATATTTATTATCGATTATTATTTCAAATACAGAAATATGATATACAATAAATCTCTTCTTTTAGAAGAGTTTTTTTGATATAAAGCTTGTTATTACTCTATTTATACTATAACCTTTTTTTATACCCTTTGATTTTCAGTTACTCGAATATTACAACAACATAATATAAAGAATGCCATCGCCTTCAAATTAATATCATACTTTGGGCATTGATATAATATAATGTTTTTCTTTTAATTTTCGAATTTTCGAATTTTCCGAATTGATTTGTATATAGGCAATAGAGTTTAGGATTCAGTCTTATCCTATTATTTTCAACAGTTTTGATTATATATATTTAATAAGAGCTAAAGGATATCAAGTTTATAAAGATATATAAAGAGTTAATTTAAAAGAAATAAAGATAAAGAAAAATAATACCTTTTTCTGCTATTTTATTAATAAAAGGATCCTTTATTATATTGAAAGCAATTTGGGAGGAGATAATTCTTGCTTTTTATAAAAAGGAAGGGATAGCAAATTGGATTTAGGATTTTAAAAAGAGAAATTAAATATTGGAATACTTTAATTAGATTAAAGATAAAGAAAAAGTGAAAAAGGAAGTATTTCAGAAAATAAAGATTATTTAATCTCTATTTGCATTTTGAATAGAGATTGGGTATAGCACCCCAGTATTCGTTTTACTCCTTCAAATTGAATATATCTATTATAGATATCCACTAGCAATTATTAGGTTTTTAAAGTTTAGCCGTTCTAAATAGTTTTGGACTGAGAAAAGGACGTTAATTAAATCAATCAATCAATTAATCAATCAATCGAGTGTTTGTAGACACTCCGTGATTGGGAAGAGTTTGTAACATGAACATCGATGCTTAGCTGCATACGAATATCCCGTATCTTCCTATGCATAACGATATACTTTTTCTTCAACACTCCCTTCACACATAAAATCCATAAACAGCTTATCTGTTCACCAAAATCCTCCAAAATCAATATCCAGCCTAGAATAACATTATATATAGTCACATATTTCCCACGCTCTGTCATATACGACCATAGACTGAGGAGAATTGGGGCATCCCGTCCGCTCTGCCATACACAAGCCTCAGATCGGTAGATTAGTAGTTGGGTGGGTGACCACCAGCGAATCCCTACTGTTGTATGTTTTTGTCATTTAACTTTTGGCGCTTCTGGGATGGGTGGTGGACTGGAAGAAACGTGGTTGGCGAGGCGAGAATTCTTCAGCGTTTCAAAGGTGCAGGAGAAGAGACGTGGAAGGATGAATTTGAGTGCAGTGAGTAGGATTGTGGATGCTCATGTTTTGGAAAATTGTGTTCTGGTAGGTAGGATGGAGGGCGACGAGGAGGTAAACGCGTGTTTCGATGTTACAACCGAATTGTTGAGAATGTCTGAAGTTTCTAAATTAAACATATGTTGTTCCATCATGCCTCAAGCCAGTGCTCTTAATGATGTTGCTCGCATTCCGTACATTGTTTCGTATAGTGGATGTGACGATTTTTTCGAAAATATTTACATAGATAATATCGAAAAACATATCACTAAAGATACCTATTCAATATTACTTCAATATTGAATACCACTAGAAATTACTGGAATACAGTAATTCAATCTGGAATGAGCATTCGTCATCTATTTCGATATAAAAATAAGACATTCTAGAAGATACTCAAAAATTCCCAATCCATTTCGGAATAAAAATGAGCATTTCAAGTCGAATTCCTAAGTGCCCATATATTCCTAATAAGATTTTATATATTGAATGTCTATAGAAGTAATAGAATCCTTCTTCATATATACGAACTATAATATTAAAAACGCTTAATAGGAGCCACCCTTATACTACAGTAACCTAATACAAACCCTGCTTCAAGCTTGCTATGTTTCCATGATGCTTTCCAAGATATTACGGATGACAGCATTATCATCACACGGTAGAGAAGTTTTGTTCAAGAAAGTGCCTGCCGATTTATCCTGCAAAACGTCTAAGTATCAAATCAAAGAGGGCGCCAAAGGCACTTTATGATCATCTTCCTTTAACTCACCAACAGCGAATTATGTAAGTGTCTAATCATGCAAACGTGTCCAAAAACTCCAAAGCACTTCCCACTAGATGAAGACTTCCAGTAATCAACACTACCGCTTCATCGCCGTCTTTTTCGTCACAATTGCTATCACCATAACCATGAGCTGCACATCGAATAGCCTCTTCGACAGTCCGTACAACGGTCACTGCGGATTCTCCTCCACTAATCTCAGCCCAGCACGTTGCCGATTCATGTTGTATTTTAAGATCTTGAATCGAATCTCCTGAGTATGTCATAGAAACACGTTCAATATCGGGAGCTGCATTTCTTTCCCACAGAGTATTTGTACAAAAGATCGCTTGATGAAAAATCGGCTCCGCACAAGCGAAACGTGATGTCGATGACGTCATAACCTGCCAAAGATGATGGAGTAGCGCCGTGGCATCCTTAGTTTGTTGGTTAAATATCAGAACACGTCGAGCTCGTTTCTGTGCTGCCATGTTTTTGATTACCCAAGGCCCCAAAACTTCAATACTTTCTATGGTATGAGCTCCATCAAGTAACCAACGAATTCCATGATTGAGCCGCGTCTCACATCGCCCGGGCCATTGGGCTTTTTCTAGACCCCGACGAAACTTTTCGGGTAGTGGGGACTGCATGAAAGTCGCTGTGTCTGCAATACCACTAAATCCCATGCGAGAAAGATGCTTTGCGGCTACTGCCACCGCTAAGCTAGCATTTGTTCGCTGGAAATCACCTTGAAGACCAAGCTCGATGGACTCGAGATCTGGATGTGTCGCAACGACATGTAGATCTGCTCCTTCATACACGGCTACAGCTTCCAACACAGCCATAGCTCCGGGGTCTTGTGGCACCGTAAACACGGGAACTCCTTTTTTCATGATACCTCCCTTAGCCCATGCAATCCCCTCAAGCCTGGAACCAAGTAGGTCGGTATGTTCTAGTCCCAAACTGGTTATAGCGCAGACGCTGGGTTGGCGAAGAATATTGGTTGAGTCATAGCGTCCCCCGATACCAACTTCCACCACGGCCGTATCAACTTTCTCCTGCATAAATGTATGGAGACCCATCAGCGTCAGAAATTTTGCAAAAGGTGGACTCTGAGAGGGCGCTCGGCTATCTAAGTTTAACCGATTCCATATTTCTGAAGAATACTTCGCAAATCTCTTTTCATCAAGAGGGGTATCTGTGAAAGCCGTCGACTGTGATTCTCGAATTCGGATACGCTCTCGCACACTACGCATGTGCGGCGACGTGTATAAACCAATCTTTCTCAAGGAAGCTGATCTTTTCTCTCCAGGATCACATCCATCGCTTAAATATTCGGATAATATCGAAAAGATGAAAGATGCCGTGGAACCCTTACCTTTCGATCCGGCAATGTGGATAGCGTTTAATACATCGAAGTCAGCAGGCTAGTTGTGTGTCCCATGGTTAGCTCTAGTTCCATCGAATGATAGCACGGCAATGAGGGGTATCACATGATATCCAATGTCTTCACACCACTCTCCCATTTGCTCCAAAAGAAAGCTTCGATCTTGAACTCCAATCATCTGTTGTCGTGACTCGAAGTTTGTGCGTAGACTGTTCAGATGATGGAGAGCATTCTAATTATTTGTCAGCTTTGACAATAGTCAAGAGGTTTGAACACAAACATGATAAAGCCGCCTTGATGATTGCAGCCCGTCGGTCTGGATAAGAGGATTAAGTTGCGTCACGAGTGATAATGAAGCCATGTTCCTTGCGTTGTAGACTTGAGGCAGCGAATACGCTCTGTTTATCATTCTTATCTTGTAACACACAAGTGGGTAGCACAGCTGAGTACAAGCGCCGAAGATCTTGTTGGTCCTGCGGGTATGTATGTCAGGAATGTAACCATAGCTCGCCACAATCCAAGTCATTTCATGGTAAAATACTCGCAGAAGACATGTTTTCCACAAAATTGTTGGAGGTGGATTAAACCTATGTATTATTAGAACATCATGATACTATCTATAGACTGCATGAAGGAATGAGAGAGACTTACGTCTTGTTTAACCGGATCCGCGGGTTTTATCTTATGGTGTGTTTGCTTTTGTACAACATAGCACGAAACATTATATAATAAGTTTTACAATATAACAGTCTCAATATTATACTAAATATTAAATTTATTATATACTTATTACTATAACTATATGTTTGTTTCTTTTTTCTTTTCCTTCCTCCCACCTTCCTTCCTCCCACCTTCCTTCCTCCCACCTTCCTTCCTCCCAACTTCCTTCCTTCCAACTTCCTTCCTTCCTCCCACCTTACAAATTTTTGAGCAACAGTTTATCAAATCAGCCGAAATCTTGACATTAAATGTTGCGTCTAATCGAATTCGAGACCTAACTCAAATTCAGTTAGCCGCAATTCAGTAATGCAATGACTAATATCGTCCGCCTGTAACTGTAGTATGACATCTCACTATGAAAGACTTGATTTTCAGCTGCCAATGATGCTGCAAAGCGACATGACTCATGAGACCTCGATGATCTAAGTACTCGGTGATAATTCTGACGAAGGCATGGTAATATAAATAAAATGATCAAAATTTCTATGAGATATTAAATTAATGATACAACTTTTGAACCTATTCAGGGAAAAACTATGAAAAGGACTATCAAATCCGATCTAATATTTTACCAGTATTGAAACTTTCAATAAGATACCTATATAAAATTGATTTGATATTGATATTCAAAATATATAGGTTTAGTTTCATTTTGATGAGGAACTCGTCAAAATATCAGCCAGTAAATATTACGAGTAGCTGATTCGTTTGTCAGATCCGAGTCGGAACATTGAAAATTGCTTTACAAGCCATGAATGACGTGTCATGCGGGATTTTTGTTCAAAACGATATCTGCATCTACAGTAATTCGAACTCAGAAGTTATTGATTGAAATCATATAGTTTGAATACCTACCGGATGAAAATACGATGGAAATATTCGTCAGGTTAATACCTGCTATTGCTTTTGACAGAAATATTCGCATGACTCGTCATTTCAGCTTTCAGCTTTCGAGAGGATCTAAAATGCAACTCAGAACGCAAGAGACCATAAGGAGCTGAACATCTCTTTTATCTCAATCTGCTAAAGTCTGTCTTTCCAGATTCATTCGTTCATCAAAATGCAATGTTTGAATCAATCATCACTTGTCACTTCCAGATGGACTGCCCCCATTCCTTTTAGCTCCCTGCCATATTTTGTGTTTGGTGCTCCGCATGAAAATCTCGGCTCAAAGAAGTTGATTATCGATACGCTCCGCCCAGATGACCGATCTTTGTCCTTAGCAGAATACCGCGATCTCTCTGTTCGCATTGCGGTGGGTCTAAGACGACTAGGGGTCCAACCCAAGGATCGAATTTTATGTCTTTCAGGTAATGCAATAGCATACCCGGCCCTTTTGATGGGCACCATTATGGCGGGCTGTATTTTTGTACCTGGACAGCCTAGTTACGGTCATTCAGAATTGGAAAGACTGCTCACAGTTGCGAAGCCCTCGGTAATCTTGACTCAACGGGCGCATCTAGATATCCTGTCGGAGGCTGAAGGTAAAGTTTCTTGCCCAGCCTTAGAGAGGAAATCGATTTTCATTTTTGATGATGACATTCTTGATAGCACGGGTAGATCATTCCTCAATGTACCTCACTGGAAGGATATGGTGGGCTCTATAGACGAGAGGAACTGGGAGTATCCCAATGTTAAATCCTCGCTTGATTACAACAGTACCATTGTCATAATGTTCACATCAGGTACAACCGGGCATCCAAAAGGTGTTGAGATTTCTCATCGCAACTATATCTCAGCTGCCGAAAGCTATATGCAGCGAGTATCTCTCCACCCTGACTGGCAGCAGTCGATGAAAAATATAGGCACGGGTATCAATAAGATTCGTGTTTTAGGAGCGCTCGGAATGCACCATATTCTTGGTCAAAGATCCTATAGTGTTATCTTCCCAAAGCTTGGAGTTCCGCTATATCTCCTGTGCCAGCCAAGTGTGCAGAATATCTTGAACGCCGTGGAAACTTTTAAGATTTCTGACGCAATCATTAGGAGTTCCATGCTTACTGAAATTGCGAAAGCACCTGCTTGTAATCTTGAAGAAAAGTTACGTTCTCTGAAGAGAGTGGAGGCATCTGCAGCTCCAATGGGACAGTTAACCAAAACAATACTGGAGCAAATAGGCGTCGGGAGAGTTACCCGAGTCTGGGGATTGACCGAGTATGAAAGTCCTTCCAAAATAAACTGACAGTACAGATGCTAATCAATGAGTTTTCCTTTTCAGACTTGGATTGATCACCGGTCATGATATGATGGCTTGCTCGCCGTCTGAATCCGTTGGGGAACTCCACGCCAACTTTGAGGGTAAGGTAACGGATACCAGTGAGCGTAGCCGGATCGTGAACCGTAACACCATTGGTGATATTTGGATCCGTGCGCCTAGCCTTAGCACAGGATACTATCATAATCCAGAGGCTACCTGTGAAGCTTATGGAGCCGATGGGTGGTTCTCTACCGGAGACGTCGGATATGTTGATGAACATGGAATGTGGTATATTGTGGATCGTAAAAAAGTAACATAATCCCAACCAAAGCAGAATTGCAGCGAGAACTGATATGAAAGATAGGATTTGATCAAAGTGAATGGAAACCATGTAGCACCAACTGAACTGGAAGCCGTGCTACTTCGTCATCCAAAAATCGTGGATGCTGGAATCATCGGCGTAGCTGTGTGAGCCGATCACATCTTACCCTCTGGAGGCCATTAACAATTGAACACAGGTACCAAGATGAAGGACCACGTGCATATATTGTAACCGCCCCTGAATCGGCACTTTCCGCTACTGAAGTTAATCATTTCATGGCCGATAAGATTGCCCCATATAAGTATCTTTCTGGAGGCATCTCGTTCATTCCAAGTATCCCGCGGAATTTGGTAATATTGCACCAGCTGTCTCTCTAGGTCCGACCAAAACTGATAATGTACAGAGCGGAAAAATCATGCGTGAACAGCTGCGAGAACTGGCGAAGATGGAACTCGGTTACTCTAAAGGGCACTACCATGGAATACACGCAGTGTCCACTGGGCTCGCCTCTCTTTAATCTCTTGCATAGATGCTTTCAAGTGAGGGAAGGGGCGGTAGATTGTGTCGGCCTGCAGGCTCCAGGCTCCAGGCTCTAGAGTCTAGTAGTATTATATTTTTGGAAGAAACATATGTAGATGAGAATCGCGATTCGTTACCACTCAGTATCAAAACGCCAGAAACTTTTCATCAAGCTTGCGTCACCCGTTGTGGGTGTCTTCTTTTGTCTGGAACATCGTGAGAAGATACGAGCGGATACTCAAAGCTCACTCTTTTATTTAAATTCTGATCCATTTCTGGTGAAGAATTCCCTCTGAACTGTTCCGTCTCGAAATAGCAGAGGAATAGTAGCTACCAATGAGCAAACACAACAGCTTACAGTTAACAAAGTTTCCACCGACAGGTATAGAATACAGGACCAATATAAACGAAAAGAAGTCGAACCGTTGAGGGAATAGGATAGGACCAAATATCGAGCCCCTCATTCGCACGACGTTCAGCTATATTTGACAAATACTGATTGACCGATGCTTACCAACCAGCAGGCACTCGACCCGGGTTCACCTTCCTTCACGATATTGATGATTATACATGCAACCTGATCTTGAAATACTGCAGTGCAGATGAAAACGCTCCATGGTTCAAGTGAAAAGTGGTGTCATTAAACTTATCAAATGAGGGTTCAGATTCGGAAGGAACGAAAATCAACCGTGACTATACCCCGCATCTATCTCACCTAAAGAACTTGCGGGAGGTACCAAATCGAATGGAATAAATAAAGCTCGATATATCAATACCAAGGTTCCTGCATAGTATCATGTTACTCAGAGCACCGGTGGGTGTACGGACTGATGGGACACTACAAAAAATTGACTTACGAATGGATATCTTCTGATATATCAATTTATATATCGTAAGAATTATCACAATTGTTTATTAGAAATAAAACAATCAAAACGTAAAATTTGATATCAAACAATTGAAGAATAAATTTGTTAAGAAAATTGAACAGTGAGATGTGTCCCGTCAATCCATGCACCGACTGGTGGGGCAACCTGGGAGTTCAATGTCCAAAACAGTGGGAATTGACCATTGGCGATACCTACCCTTCAACAATCCAAGGGTTCTATTTCAAGTTAAACAATTAAAATTTAAATAGTATCACAACTAAAGATCATCCAAGGATATGTTTAGTGCCATCAACTCTCATAAATTTATAAATGATTGATTTATTATAGAATTCATTGGGGTCATCAATTGTAGCCCTTTTTTTTCTCCTGTGGCCAGTAAAAATGTCAACGCGCGTGCACCGGAACGGAAAAACCTCCACGCCTCCCGAAAAATTTTGACCCCTAATGAAAAAAAATTATTAAAAGCTTCAAATCTCCCCCTTCAAAAATACATCAAAAAGTAATCTCAAATTGAAAGAGTCTTTGAAATTGTATGGACTAGCGGCGAATCGAACGCCGGACCTCTCCCATGCTAAGGGAACATTATACCACTAAACCACAAGCCCGTTGTAGATGCTAGAGGAGAGGTTAAAGAATTATATGAAGAAAAGATGTGGAGTGGAAACAAAGGAAGTGGATGAAGTGGATCGCGGAGCTAAACAAGAAGGTTCATTTAGTACAAGGGATAATAAAAGAACATTGTGCAATCAAATTACAAGCTATTTTTGCTGTTCTAATTCACTTCATGCTAGAATTTAGCTTTCTTTGATTATTATAGCTTTGCTGTTATCACGGTGCGGTCTGGGTGCTAGGTAAGATATATGATATTCTACGAGGTTGTGCAGGAGGAGGCGGGGAGGCGCCGACTATATAGAGGGTGGTTGCCTAAGGCATCCATCTAACTACGTATTGAACCCGTGACAGCTGTTCTAATTCACTTCATGCTAGAATTTAGCTTTCTTTGATTATTATAGCCATCCATGGATACTTTTTATAAAGGAGTATTCTACAAACAACACCATAGTAAGCAAGTTGCCCGAAGTGGCATATTACTACATGAAGCTCACAACCTATCAGAAGCCAAGAAGTGTATATATGGTTAGGTAGTAGAATCATCATAGTGAAGCTACATAAGAAAGTGCAATCGGTACTAGAGTACTAGCACAGTATCCTACACGTACTTTCCGAGCAATATTACAATTAAGAACAAAATCCCAACTTTCGAAGCACACGAGAATACTTCTTCCGCTTCTGGGGGGCCTGAAGTGTTGCCAGTGATTCAAAAGTTTCGACGGTGTCTACAGCGGGATTGATCCCGCCTATGCCGATTTTTATCTCTTTCTGAGTCCCTTGGTGAAGAAGTTGTAACTTACCAATGGCATCGCAATCCTCTTGATGAATGGGTGCTGGCTCAATGAGTACTTGTTCCTGCCTGTCTGCTGCCTGAAGCTCAATAGGAATCTTGTCCTGTCTGTCCGATTGTTGGACTTTATCCAATATCTGCCCCTCTTTCTTATGATCAGCTTGTACTTCAATAACATTCTCCTCGACCAGAAGTCTGGTCACTGTTTGCGCTTCCAAGCTAACTTCAGTTGGACGTCCAGATATTGAATCCTCCCCTTCGCTCTCGCGATTGTCTTTCGGGAAATTAAACGGCCATTTTTGATACTCGAATAGCTCCTGTTTAAAGTTGACGCGTGTATTTATTTTTTTACCCCCCATTTGAATGCATGGAAATAAGCGTCTAGCAACCTGTATGGATTTGGTTTTGCTTGCTAGAGTAATAAATCGTTAGCATGGCATCGAGATAAGGATGAAACAAAAATATACTTACTTAGCAGCTCTCCGTTCTTGGTGTAGAAGATCTTCTCTTCCCTAAAGTCAATGCCACATCCTATTACATCCCCAGTTTTATATTGCTGTATCTCATCAGATAACGCAGTATCTAAAGCGTACAAGGACGATGTCACTTCATAGTCCCAGCCCGAAGCCTCATCAAACCAATGGGTCCTCCTAGGGGCAACCCCAAGTCTAAAACTCCTGTCTTGGTGTGAGTAAAAAATGTTAGTCTACAGGCCCATCAAGACGTACTGATTCTCCCCGAAGATCTCAAGCACAGTAACTTCAAAATAGTACTTTTCTCTGCCAGCTGGGATTGGATGGTTCGCTCGTACAGGACCGTGGAAACCTAAATCATCACCTAAATTATACAATTAGGCAAAGAGTTCAATTCATGATTGCAATTAACTTACTGCTCTCCAGAGATGCTTCTAGACCATCTTCACTAATCGTAATCCTCGAAGTTTTGCAAGTTAAGCTCCACTTGGTCGGAGGATGACCAAATGATTGCGAGTCTATTCTCTGACTGAGTGTTCCGAGTGTGTTTTGCGTATCATACTGCGATAAAAAATGAACTATTTCTTGTCGTTGAAGCTGGGCTGCGAGTAATACCGAGGTCCAGCCATGAGAATCTTTTTCGTTCACTAGATCTTTGTGAATGGCATAGCAAATATTGACGTTGCCTTTCTCTATCGCAAAGTGAACGAGATCTAGCTTATGTTTCTTCAAATCAATTGCAGGAGGTGCTGAAATGAGAACTTTTGACATGAGAAGCTTTATTGTACTCTCAATATTATCTCTGCGAGTGATATCGTCTGGGTGAATACCTTTCCATACTATGAACATCCATTCTAAAGGCGTTCTATGATGCTCATCCTCCAAAGTAGGGTCTGCTCCTCGGCTACACAACAGGTCCGCTGCATCTGTATTCCCTCCACGCGCTGCGATATGTAAAGGTGTAGCACCCTCATGATCGACCTCGTCGATGACTGAAGTATCACCATCATCCAGAAGGACTCGGAGAGTCTCAAAATGGCCCATAGTGACAGCGCAGTGCAAGGGCGTGGCACCAGCTTTGTCGTGTATGTAGAGTGCTGAAGTATCACCTTTATCAAGAAGGATCCTAACAATTTCTACATTTCCTCTGCTGGCAGCCCAATGCATCGGCGTAGCCCCACATTTGTCAATCTCAAGAGAAATTGAAGCATCACTAGCATCAAACAGGATTTTAACAATTTCTTTATGTCCATTTTTCACGGCAAGGTGAAGAGCTGTGGAATCATAAATACCGGGTAGTCTGCAAAGTGTCAAGATTTTCCTATTTCCAGCCTCCAGTAACATTTTGACAACTTCATCTCGACCTTGTGCAGCAGCACGATGAAGTGGTGTCATACTATCGAAATCGCGATTCAAGAGAAAGCATCCTTCTGGATCCTTTTCCTTCCAATACTTTAATAGAAAATCAAGAATTCTTAAATCGTTTAGAGCGACAGCTCGTGCGACTGGATCGTGTAACCTGTTATCCTTGATTGAAAAGTCGGCGCCATAACGAACAAGAAGTTCAGCGAGGTTCACGTTACTTTTTTCGGCCGTCTGACACCACCCTAAGGCTGCGTAAAGAACAGTATTCCCAAACTTATCGATGCAATTAGCATTTGCAGAATTCTGGAGCAGTATGCTTGAGACCATAACATTTCCTGAAAGACAGGCTTCGTATATTGGTGTTTGACGATCATTGTCCTCTGCATTTACATTCGATTCATAGTCCAACAAAAGTTGAACCAGCTCCGGTGGCGTTTTTTGTTGCTTGCATGCCCAATGTAGAGGTGTTTCACCTTCTTTATCCTTCGCATTGACATCCGCATTCTTCTCCAGTAAAAGTTTGGTGATATCAGTATCACCACTTTCTGCAGCAAAATGAAGGCAAGTCCTCCCAAAAGAGTCGGATATCTGATAATTTGCACCTGCATCTATGAGCTTAGCCACAAGCTTTACGTTTGCCTTAGACTTTATAGCGAGCTGAAGCGGGGTTTGCTGATACATTCCAACCCGTCGATTAATATTCTTTTCATCTGGCAACAGAATCTCTATGCCACGAAATTGCCCAACACCGTGGCATGCTAGGTGTAACGCGCTCAAATTGTTCCCAGTCCATGTATCTGAGTACTTCTCTTTAGTATGTCGCTTGATTAATCCAACCAAGCCACAGTATGCGGCGACATGCAAAGGATCGATAGAATCCATTGAGCGCCAAGGAGAGGTTCTTTTAACCCAGTTTTTAAATGCCCAACTACTGGGGTCCAAGAATTTTTCAACGGCGTCATACAGCTCAGTCCATCTATCTCCCTCCTCGAGCCGTTCATTTTCTGGCCAGGCTTCTTCTGCATCTCTAAGATGTCCTGTCCAATGACCCAGCTCATATCTTTCTTCTAATTCATCCGGTATAAGGTTGGCTTTGTAATAATGGAAGTGTTCTAAATCATTCATGATTACTCTTGTATTAGTTTCCGGATTTTCCATGTACTGCTCTTCCACTTCTTCGATGTCTTGCGCGTTAGATGCTTGTCTGGATCTGGAAGTTAACAGCGTCTTTCGGAATACTGTGTCAGTCTCAGGAGCTTTCGATTCAGACTCAGATCCTGCCCCCCCTGTGTCATCTTCCACGCCGATAGCCCACATAAATTCTCTCTGGAACAATTCAGAGTTTAATGTTTTCATTATCTTTTCGATCATGAGTAGCTTGCCATATTTACCTCCAGCTTCAAATACTAACATATCGTTTTTCTCTTTTCTGCATCTAATACAGAGAGTAGTCGTATCACGATCATTTTCGTCTTCGTGAATATAGTCGCGCACCGAATTATGATCGAGCTCAATGCTGTTGGCACTTCCAAATTGAAGAAACTTTCTTCCAGCGTTCTCTACAAGTTGGATTACTTGGCGCTCAGCAATTGTGGGAGCCTTGAGTCTTGACACAGGAATGCTTTCTGCTCGAATTTGTAGCATCGTAGTGGTCTCAAGGTCACTATTTTCAGATAGAAGACTTCTCGCATCGCTACCAAGCGAAAGATCATCTAACCCATCGTTATCTTCGTGTACTTCCCACTTACGGTCGAACTCCTCTGCAACTAAATGGATATAAACTTTAGTTTGCGCACACACGAGCCAGCGAAGAGCGATCAAAAGAATTTCACGAGTTTCTGAATCTAGACCTTTGAAGGCTTGTCGGTAATAGTTCTTTAAGCCGTCCGGGAGTTCGGATTTTATCAACTTGTGCTGCTTTGAGATATTGGGCGTCGATTTCAATTCCTCGAGAATCAAGTTTGCATCTTCAACCTGTCAGATCCGACCATCAGTGAGGCTTGAACTTACATCTGAAGCTACCATCTGCTTTCTTCGTAATTCTTCTAACCGCTTTCAACAGGTCGTTGTTGCTACCAGCAAAAAGATTTTCCCGGCGCAGGAAATCTTTAACATACACTTGGATATTTTCTGCAATGGAATGTTTCAGATCGAGATCAATTGACAACACATTATTGCTCAGAGCTTTTGAAATGTTATCGATGGGGCGGCTCGCTATGAAAACTCTCATCGTTGAGCTTTGAGCTAGATCTACCAATGCAGATAATAGACCTTTATCGTAGTCAAGACACTCATCCAATGCATCCAGCACCACGACAAACTTCATTTGAAGAGTCGCCACCAGGCTCTTAAACATCGGTTGAAGCAAGGAATTGATTTCCACAGGCGAGGAATCTTCTTTGGTGGCGCTGCTCAGCATCTTTCGCCTTGCTGTCTTGATTACATTGATGCATGAAATTAATTCTTGCTCCGCAAAGCTACTAGATCTCAGCCCATTGCCATCTAAGCCAGAATGCGAATTTTCCTCTTTGAAATTGCTAAAAACTCTAACTAGGATTTGGGCCAGCAGATGCAACATGATTTTGTTTCCTCTTTGTGTCGTGTCGTCTCCAGTCTTGCAGAAAAAATAAAGTACCAGTGGCTGAGTGCCGCTTTTTGGAGTATGTTCTTCCAAGTATTCAATTATCGTCGAAACGAGAAAGCTCTTCCCAATCCCACTTCGGCCTTTCATCCATAACAGTCTGTCTTCCCCTTCACATTGCGACCAATTTTTGAAAGTTGTTTCATTGAAAATCCATTTGCAAGCATTTTTGCAGCTTGCCTTTTTAGTAACTTCATGAAGTCTACCGGGGGTTTCTGCAGCAGCTATTGTTCCCGATCTAAGCCATGCTAATTGTTCTTTGAACCTCTTTTCAAGATCATGCCGATTTTGCCTAAGATTGATGTTGTTTAGTGTCGGAGCTATGCTCTGAATTGTGTCAGAGATGTCCTTGAGAACCTGCAGATGTTCGTTATCACCGATAACTAGATCTCTAAGCACATGAACAGCCGCTTCCTCGAAAGCGATGTTCGCTAAGTTCAACAATTCCAGTAGCTTCTTCTGTCCTGATTTCATTGTGTCAGTAAAGTTGCTTTCTTGGCTACCAAGCCACTTCCAGAAGATCCGTCCTGAAATGACAAGAGTGAGCCAGATACCCAATATTTTTGGTGCAGCTGTACTTTACCTCCCTTGCCTGCTTTACGGGCGGAAAAACTCTTCGCTTGATGAGAGAGCGTTAGGACAATCCTATAAAGCTCAATGATTGCAGTTTTGATGCCCCTTTGAAGACCATTTTCATTTCTGGTCGATGTTGGATTTGGAACATCTAGCTGATAGCGTTGTGCATAGATTTGACATATAAGAATTATATTAGACATGCTGTCTACTGCTTCCACAAGAAATTCACACGCTTTCTGATCCTCGACGAATCCCTAAGAAATTATTAAACTCATATTGTATCAAATGACATTTGAAAACGGTACACCAAGCATACCATGAAGATAAATCGAAACCCAGCCCAGGCAAGGGATACAGTTTCTGGAGCGAACTTTGTAGCTGCGTCGCCAACTTGCGAAATCAATTCTAATCTCTTCAGGACACTACCAAGCTTAATCTTAACACCGTGAAAAAGCTCATGATCACCATACTCCTTAGAAAGCTTAGTTTGTGCAATCTTGAGTTCAATTATGGCTTCTTCGATTGTCGCCGTGCCATCTTTATTTTTTCCCCCAGATGCTCCAAGTTCGTTATAGAATAAATCCGTCGCTGTCTTCCAAAGCGAATCTGCATGAATTTTGGGGACGTAATTCTTTTGGAGGGAGGTCCCGTCTTCTTTGGATAAAAGCGTCTTCCATTGCAAGTCCCTACGCATTTTTTCAACAATAATGTCCTTATCTTCTGTGGACATCGTATTTTCATTGAGAAGCACATCATCATAGTCGTCGCCGTCATCAGGATTTGTCTTATCACCTGGATTGGAGGGAGTTGAGAAATTCTTAAAATTATTGGCAAAAAGAGTTGCCCTGTCTTCCAAGGACATTGTGTGATCATACTCATGCAAGTAATCACGGACATCTTCGTTATAATCGCGGACATCGTCGTGAATGTATTGGGTATTTGAAGCCATCGTGACTACAGACTGGCCAAAAGCACAGATCTATCCGGCAGCAAGTCTTCACGCGCTGTGCTCAAGAAAGTAGTTATCTAGCGGTTATTCGTTAACGATAATTAGTTTTCACTACAGAATTCTTCCAGCTCAATGAATTCGAAGTTATGGAGCGGGGTGCGAATACTTCGCCACTTGTCTTGCTAATTTTCTGTTACCTGTCGGAAATGTCTATCTATGCATATAGTGGCACAAATCAAGGTGTTCAGCTTCTGCAAGGTTTAATGTAAAGGGCAATAATTTGAGAGTGGCTTGTCTGTAATGAAGATTACTGGTGCTTACTATAAGTGGGCGTAAGACAACCTGGCTCTTGAAACTACAATCAATATCAATATGTGACGATCGCTGGGACACTAGGCACATTGGGCTCAGATTTAGCGATTGGTAAGTAATAGATTAAGGTTGTACACTAGGCCTTCACCCAGAAGTGAAGTCGTTACTAAATAAAGAAGAATCTACGGGTGGACAAGTTAATTAATAAATCAGTAGAGTGCGAAGCTTCCTAGGTATAAGAAGCTATGATCATAAAATCAAATCTTTCTTAAACTTCCATTGATTGTCATATAATCAGCCTTGACTATCATTAGAGTTGATACAGCTCGCTTAAATCAATCTTCACGGCATCTTAGATACTATCTGAAGGAACTTTACATCCAAATTGAGCTTCGACATGAAATGAAGTGGTTGAAGAGTAGGGAAAAATCAACTATAAGATTGTAAAACTAAGGTATAAATAGAAACGCTACTTCGAAAAGCCCATAAAAGGCGTGTTGAAAGACCCCGCTCACATATTTGCAAATTTCTAGATGGTGATATGCACCACTTCCTCAATCTCAATCATCATATTCCATACTGACCTTCTAAGCTTTATACAAAGTATCCAAAAATCCACTCGCTAATTCGACCACCACGCTCTTATTTGGCAGACTACCTGCAACTCCATAGAGGGCCGCCGAATCTCCCAAGCTCTTTCCCTTTGCTCCTTTACCTTCCACAATTCTGACTCTCTCCTTCTCCTTCTCCCCTTCTACAACAGCTATCAAGTCTTCGACCAATTTCTCCCACACCTTTACAATCGGTAAGGTCACAGCTACGTGTATAGCCGGTGGGTTCTGTAACGAATTGAGATGCCATCCCTTTCCTGACATAGCATCGGCAATATCATAAATATCGAGTGTCTTGGACGTGAAAGCTACAACAGAAACAAGTGGTTTACCTAGTACGTGGAGATCGGCGTTAAGAGATGGGTTTTCGTTTATGGCATCGATGATCTTTTTGGTAGCTCCAACAATCTCGTTACAAGAATTGATATAGCCAGTTTCTCCAACACTCATAAGTGAAGCCCAACATCCAGCAATTAGAGCACCTGGACGAGATCCGGCAATCGATGGAGAGGCATACACACCACCTGACCAGTCAGGAGAGATGAAGTATTGGTAAGTTCTCAAGGCTGCGGTGCGGTAAAGAACAGTCGAGTTACCCTTGGGAGCAAAGCCGTACTTGTGAGTATCGCAACTTATACTAGTAACACCCTTGAGACGGAAATCAAAGAGTTCTGTTTCAAATCCGGCCTTCTCGAGGAAGGGGACGAGGAATGATCCAAGACAGCAATCGACGTGAAGTGGAATTTTACGTTTGACGGCGAGCTTGGAGAGACCAGTGATGTCGTCAATGAGTCCATGAGGGAAGTTGGGCGCGGATCCGACGAGAAGAACAGTATTGCTGTTGATAAGGCGAGATACGCTTGGAAGATGGACTTGATAAGATGGAGCGGGACAAGCGACAAGATGAATTTTGATACCGAAATATTGACCTGCTTTGCGGAATGCTGTGTGTGCCGTTTCTGGTAGAATCCTGGACATTGGTTAGCATAAAAGTGTAAAGGGCATATCCATAGATCGACCAACATTTCCGGCTCCTTTACACCCCTCTCGGCATAAGCCTTCTGTCTTGCACTTAAGCAAGCCATCAAAATAGACTCTGTACCTCCACTAGTTGTAACTCCAGCAGCTCCCGGAGGAGCATTATACATCGACAAAACCATTGCCACGATTTCTGCCTCCATCTTTCTCACTCCCGGGAACACATCCGGGTGAATAGGATTCGCGACTGTAAACTTTCCAAATGCCTCCGTCTGTAGTTTCATCAACGAGTCTCCTCCATGATACACAGCACCCGAGACAAATCCATCCTCCCATCTGGTATGATCCATATTGGCCAACGTCTCCAACTCTTTCATGACCGTTTCTTCAGACCATCCTTCCTTCGGCAGCGTCAAATATCGTACCACGCCTGGACCTGTCGGTACCAGTTTGCCTTGTAATTTCGTAACTGCCTCTGAGACCTGTTTTTGTACTTGAGATCGTACACCGGGTGCTCGTAGGAATAATCCATAGAGTGTTCTGCGAATTGAGATATATGCGTCTGCGAAACTACCAAAAAGCCCCCTTCCCTTCAGTTTCAAAAGACCCTTCCTCGTCCATCTCAGTAAGAACAAAAAGAATACGATATTTCGAAGTCTGCAATACCAGAAATATTATCAGCAAAGTTTATTCCATCAGGCACTAGAAGCAAGCACATTGCATAGCTTATCGCATGTACGGTGGGTCCAGAAGCATAGAATAAGAACTCACAGATCAATGTTCAAAGCCAGTAATTGGCTACTACTTGATGAACCCTTTTTGACGGTGAAGCTATTGCGCAAGCTCACTGGCATTCTCGAACTGCCGGGCATCTTAGGAAACGGATGGTCGGTGAGTGATGAGAAGGAAAATAAAAGTTGGGGTGGGAGAGCAAGATAAAAGGCAGAAGGCCAAAAGTCGTCGTCTGCATCGGAGGTTTCATTTTCCTTGATTCAATTGATGGAGATGCCGAGGATGTTACTCATCACATGCTTGCTTCTTTATGCTCCATCTAAGGTCTGCCCTTGTAAACTTATTTCTAGAGAGTTTGACGATATCTAATATATATGATATATCGTCATTAAAAAGTGGACATGAACTGTCAAATTTCTCTGTTATGAGCATTTGATGTTATAGGTACCAGATGTTTATGTTTGCAATGCTACATGGATATACTAGGTACTGGAGGTGCTAATTCAACGCTGCGGACGAGAACAACACACTTTAATGACCTCCTACATCATCGATTGAAATAATTATAGAACACAAAACTATATCGAAGAGCTTCGCAAGTATTGAAAATGCAGTGCATTGACTGCTGGGGTATGTATGTTTCAAATAATATACAGAAGACAAAGTCTTGCTTCCCCAAGAAAACTATATCTGCCAGCATCAGCGATATCCATATTCCTACAGACGTCATCGCTGGTATTGTACAATTATGCAAACATTTATCTTCATGCTCTTGTGTTGTACGCCTACAAACGCCTTGCCCGCTATTCGTAGATCATAAGGGCTTCTATAGCCCTAACTATGCTTATATGTTGATGATGAGGATTTGATTTGATTATCGTAGTAAAGGGTTGGATCATCGTGATGCGAAGACAGTCCGCCATTGCCTTGTGTATTTTTCGGCCTCTTTTCCACAGTCTCGTCCTGACTGGTCGCAACCAGGTAATCGAACAACAAAGTCTCCGTCCTTATACCCGTCCGCCTCATCCGAATTGTATGCATTCATTATTTTCTGTGGCACGAGTGCCAACTTCGACAAGATCGTTGGATGCCATTGTACGATGTGTTCCTGATTATTGTAAGAATTTGAACTTGCCCCCAAAAAACATGGGCCCACTTACCAATGCATGAAGATCTGCTTTCTGAAAGTTGTAAGAACGATACAGAGGGTCAAACCATGTGTCGAGGAAGAATTTGCTCCATTCCCCCTTTCTGATAATAAAACTAGCCTGCGACAGACCGTCTTTATCCTGAGTGAGAACCAAATCAACGTTCTCGCCTTTCAAATTTGGAAATGTCTTGATGACACTGTCCGGAGGCACAATAGATTGATCCTTGATCATCAAACTTTCCAAGCGCTTTGGAGCCATAATGTGATCTTCGACCTTCAGCGCAGGGTTCATGATGAGAGCATTCTGCTCCAAAACCCAAATGTATTCGCTATGTGGAAATTTTGATAAGGCGTGTCGTGCTGCGGGAACTTTGGACCATGAATTCGGCGATCCTTGAATATCATAGTCTCCAATACTGGGGAAAAATGTTGCATATCCTAACCATTGTCAATTCAATTCTTGCTTGAAAGCCAGAACAGCAAGTTGAAGCCATTCGCAAAGCATTTGCTTACCATGTTTCCTGGCATATTGAATGCGATTCTCCTTTACGCTGTCCTGATACTCTTTACTATATCCCACCGTATCCAATACTGTGACAATTACAACTGGTGGAGTTCCCGATGGTACACCATTTGCTCCCCCAAGTATACGTGAAAGTATGAAGAATACCACCCCTATGGCACAGGCGCCTAGAACTATCGTCTTCGCCCTACTTCTGCGTAGCATTGGGAAACGTGAGGATCGTGGCGCGAAATATGCTGGAGGGTTCGAGGCTTTCCTCGAGGGGTATGCCAAATGCATTATGTCGTATGTTCTGGACCCCTTGGGCACCTGCTACAATCGTTACAGCTTTTGGCAATAATTGTAGCCCCAACGTCGTACGGGACTTTTTTTTTATAGCAGTTGATCGCGATGCACAGGATGCTGAAATTGTTGCGCTGTGTCCTTTAGTATTTCACCGTTATGGTGAACACTTGGCGCGATGAGTGGAGATACCAGGTGGATGGGAGCAGGGTCCTTTGGGGAATCGAGATTAAGGTTATTACGAAAAAATAAAATACCTAGGTAGCATATCAGTCACGAAAGAGAATGCTGCAACGTCAACTTCATGGGACGATGAGAGGAGAAGGAAAGAAAGAAAGTGTTGTTGCCGCCGTCCTTGTCAAGGTAGGAAGAAGATTAGATTAGGTTATTTTAGGGAAATTTATTCTTGGCTTGTGGAAGTTTTTAAGAAAATGATTAATTTTGCACCTCTCTCTCCTCCGCTCCTCTCTCTCTCTCTCTCAGATGAGATGTAATCAAACTTCGAATTTTCCACCCTTGTGAATCCTAATTTTGATGGATATAACAGATAACGGAGTAAAAAATAAGATTAAGTACCTATATAAAATCATTTATATTTCATCCATCTCTTTCCTCTTCTTTGTTCTACAGACCACCTAAGGGATGAAAAGTATATTATTACCTACCTACGTCAAATATCCCGTGAACGTTTCCGGATTTCTACATCCAAGTTTTAACGAGACGTTCTAGGTAAAGATTAGGGGTAACCCAATATACCATCAACATCAGACTACTCCGACTTCGACATATTTATATGAATCTCTCTGGGAAGCTCTAAAGGAGATAGCAAGACTCATCAAACCAAACATCTACATACTGGATAGCTAATACTTTTCGATTCAACATCCACCTCTTCTGGCCCGTCGATTCACTTCATCCGAAGATTACACATGTGCATCCAGCCATTTCTTCAGACACAAGGCTCTTTAAGCTTCCTATTAATTTTATTAATAGAGCTCGGTATGCCCTGTGCTGTCAATCCCAAGCTTTTGTACCATGCAGCGATGCCTCGAATATGCACACTAAAATGCCAGAGTGGCACCGTGGGGGTCTAGAAGTCAAGCGATGATAATCTGGTTGATTCTTCGATCGGTGTCGGTCGGACATACAGAATCCCCTTCATCCACAGAAAATAAATATTATGATGTAACAACAAGTCAACTTACAAAGCTCAAAATCCAACGTCATTATCTATGTAAGTGTATAGGACATACCTCCGGGACGCCAGGTAGAGTATGGAATCGTTTTAAAAGCTTGGTAGGTATCAATTTTCCTATGTTTCAATCTCATTATTACCATTGTTTATTCTTTTGCTTCATATTCCGCATAATCCAGAAATTGTGTATCAAAACAGAAAATATACGCCTTAATTTAAAGACAACTCTTCATAATGTCAGAATCTTCATCAATTATTCAATTGGAGTGCCAATGCAACAACTATCCATGGGGTCGTCAAGGTAAGGAGTCTTTAGCAGCAAAGTATGCAGCTTCTACTCCAGGAGGCAAATTCAAGCTTGATGAGAGTCAAGAATACGCAGAGATGTGGATGGAAACCTATCCGACTACACCATCTCTCATCTTGTCAAACGGCAAAGACTTACAAGAGCATCTCAATGCCAACAAGGAGAAGCTGATCGGGAAACCAATACTCGACAAATTTGGAGCAGATGTACCATATTTACCAAGGTATTTTCCCCTCTCTCTCTATACCATACTCACATGTAAATGTTCATACTAACCTCAGCCTTCCAGATCCTTTCAATAGCTAAAGCCTTACCTCTTCAAATCCATCCAGACAAGAAGCTTGCGGCTAAGCTTCATGAACAAGACCCCGAGAAGTTCGGCGACACAAACCACAAACCCGAAATTGCCGTTGCCCTTGGAAAATTCGAGGTTTTCGTTGGATGGAAACCTCTTTCTGATATCCAATCGCTTTTCACTAGCATCCCAGTTCTCACCTCCAGATTCCTCTCTTCCTCCTCCGACACCATGGACAAAGACACATTGAAATCCATCGTCCACAAAATCCTCTCTCTCTCCGATGAGGAAATAAAATCCATCTACAACACCCTCAAAGACACCCCATCCTCAAAATTCCCTACCTCACCATACATTCCCGCCCTGTTACCCCGCCTCGCCGATCAATACTCCGCCTCGGACCCCGGCAACCTCGTCGCCCTCCTCACAATGAACTATCTCATTCTCCAAAAAGGCGACGCCATCTACGTCCCCGCAGACGGTATCCACGCCTACCTCTCCGGTGACATCGTAGAATGTATGGCACGCTCCGATAACGTTTTAAACACTGGGTTCTGTCCCCGTGCCGACCGCGACTCTGTTGATTTATTCAGCGCCGCGCTGACATTTTCCCCCGTCGGAAAAGATGAATGTATACTCAAGCCTACATCAAGCTCTAAGGGTAAGAATGGCAAGACCAAGGTCCTAGCACCACCAATGAGCGAATTCGATATGTTAGTTTTAGAGCTCCAAAAGGGAGAAAAGGAAACGATTGAGAAGCTGGGAGGACCCAGTATCATGGTTGTTACCGGTGGTAAAGGAACTATGAAAGCGGGAGGAGAAAAGTTCGAGGTGAAGGAAGGATATGTATTCTTTGTGGGAGTAGGCACCGAGTTGGAGTTTGAAGCTGAGGAGGGATTGGAGGCACATATTGCTTTTTGTGAAGCGTAGGGAGTCAAAGTTCTAGATGATAGATATTAACAAGGATGACATAATACGATATGATACTACTTGTACAATAGTTTATTGTGCTATAGAATACAGTATATAGAATGCAGCAACAGGAGCTTTCTCATACAAGATGGTTACACTCACTTTCGAAATTAACATTTCTAATCGTAGGGAAAAGTTTTGTGTTTCAACTGAAGTGTATTTATTGTGAAGTGAGTGGCCAATTTCAGGTGAGATTATAACAATCGGGAGCGGAGTGGAAGAAAATCAACCATCCATAAAACAGATAGACGAGACAGGGTTGACGTTTGAACATGAATCACGATACTATAAGCAATTATCTCAAGAATATTATCCATTATTAATATTTGAAATAAGTACACGCCAATCCCGATCAAACCGACCCAGCCATGCCCAACTCCCTATCCCATTCATCCAAAGCTACAAAACTATGTATCAACATCCCCTCCAATTCCCCATCCTAGCATAATGCCACAACCAGTGCCGCAGCGAAGGAATCAGAAAGATGTATCCCAATCCAACCATTCCCAAAAGAGTCCGGTCGTATATAAGATACGGGGTGTTGACAAATAAACTCGCGGTACGCCGGTATGTGAAAAATAGAACAAGACGTTCGAATTTCTGGGCTCCAGCTGAGTTGGCTTATTCTTCGCACACAGACTAATCGACACGATACTGTGAAGGATCTCGTGGCAACTTAAGAAGGTGCGGGAAAAGTGTAGGTGTATGGGGAGGGAAAAAGTACTTCCTGGATATCTGGTTCTCACATATTTGGAGGCCATTGGTTCAGCAAAAAATGACATACAAGTAGTGAGATAAGTTTATGTTGATGTATGTATGTTTGTGATTATGCTCTGTATCTTCACTGTGTTTTCCTGATTTCGGGATTAACAGGTGTTGGAGGATGTTCTCCTCTTGTATTTTTTGAGTTCACCTGCTCATCAACTTCTGCTTGTGTCTGTTCATCTTCTACATCAGCATCATCGCCTCCAACGTCGATCACGGTCTCGCCAGCTTTTTCGAGTACTGATTTACTCCAGCTTCTGGTCCATTTCCAAACTGTCTGAAGGCTGTTAGCAGATGTCCATAATCATAAGGTGGGTAGTGACTCACAACTAAGAAGGCACCAATACCAATAATGACAAGAGTCCAACTGATGTTCTCTAGACGATTCCGACCTGTTCCAGCTCGAGCGCGGCCGCCACCGAACAGGCCAGTCTGTCTTACATTCCACCAACTCAACGGGGACATTGCAAAGAATATCTTAACAAATCCGAGCATTCCCAAAGACGCCAGTCCTTTTAACAGATGCTCGGCCCAAGTATTTGCTTCCGTATCCACGATATGTAGAGCTGGACCATTCCCTCCCATTGAAGGGAATGAAAAAACAGTATCATACGGGTCCAGATAAAAGTTAATGATCGGATCGGCCACGAAGCCCATGACGAAAATCGTAACAAATAAAATTGCCAAAGTAAGACATAGTTGTGTCAAAGCACTACTAATCCAATGACCCCACTTCATCCTGTGAAAGTGATATCTAAAGTGGCACGTAGGACATTCATAATAGTTTTTTGATCCGGGGTTTGTGTATCTCCATGCTGTCAAACAGCCTTCATGAACATATCTTTGACTTCCGTTGCACTTGCATGGTCGCATTAGACGGCCCAACTCAGGATCTTCCGATTTATATGTCACCCGGGGTGTTGGACTGAGTATTGAAGCTATGCCTTCGGTGGGAGTTTCGAAGGTCGGCTCTACGGTTTCCAGGCAAATTCGACATAGTCGGGATGGGTAATATCTTCGACGTGTTGGTTCCGGCTCTGGTTCCGGTACAGGAGCTTCTTGGTGCGTATGCTCGTCCGCTGTGAATGCGTCGTTCTGATTTTGGCGAGAAGATTGTGAGGTGTATTCTGCAGACAGATCATCCCATGACCAAGTAGGTTGTGGAGTTGCCATTTCTGTGCTGATGTGACTTGTAGGTATGAAGAAATGAATGAAGAAACAAAGCTATCAAAGCTATAGCGATGACAGAGAAGGTTACTTATTGACTTTCCGATCTCCGATGTATGATTAGCTAGCTAGGAATGGTTCCTGCAAGTGTTTGAAACCTCCGGCTATTCGAGAAGAAGAAAAGAACAAAGAGTGAATTTCAATAAGAGCTGCGTTTGATGTACTAGAATGTCAGTGAATAGATGGTTAATAAAATCAATCAAAGGAAAACTTCATTAAAGAAGGATGGAGAGCATGTAGAGACATTGACGACAGTGGTGAGATGTGCTTCTTGATGACCTTTAAATAAAATGTTTGGTTTTTTTTCCTTTTGATTTGAATCAGATTTCTGAGGTGTGTGCACTTTAAAAAGATGCGCTAGTAAAATCCCCGAAAATCTTGAAAACACAAGATACGTAGGTACCTAGTATGTAAAGTTGTCCACTGAATCTAATGTATTCAAAAATTCACCATAATAAATGTTTACATTACAATACCTTTGTCTTTGTTATTTGTTGGCATATTGTAGGAGAATATTCACCCGTAAAAATTGATATAAAATACATATAGTTCGTGAATAAAACTAAGAAGTTTGAAGAGCTCTAATATTGCTCAGATATCACTTGGTGCCTGACGTTGAGCTGACTTGCTGCCAGATATCTAAGGCGTTAATTCTCATCGCGTAGTCGTGGACCAGAGCTGCCTGTAGCTCTATAGTCCAACGACCCCAAATACAGCTTCACTCTCTAAACTCCCAACCCATACTTTACATTTCTGTCAACCATTTCCGTAATTTTGAACCTCCAGATCCCTCCGGCACAAGTTTTGAAATAAACAGGAACAATGGCGGATAGATATTCTTTCTCCTTGACAACCTTCTCCCCCAGGTACGATTGAACCAGCCAAAGCTCCCAGAGATCCTACTAGGTGATATATAATACATGCAGAAGCACTTTGCTAACGTTTTGAAGTGGGAAATGGTTCAAATAGGTTCGTACCATTAAATAAAGCTTATATCAAATATGCGCCAAGCTACAACTTTACTTGTTCATATATCCCATCAGCTCTACATACTGATCAAATCGCAAACAGAATATGCATTAAAAACGCCGTCAACCAAGGTGTTACCTCATGGGAATCAAAGGTACACACATATCCTCACTAAACATACGTATTTGTGCTAACTTGTCATCAGCTACCAACGGCATTGTCCTCGCCACGGAGAAGAAGTCCTCATCAACCCTCATCGATCCCCCCTCCCTCTCAAAAGTCTCTCTTATCACTCCAAACATTGGCATGGTCTACTCCGGCATGGGACCTGATTACCGCGTACTTGTTGATAAGGCCCGCAAAGTATCCCACACTGGCTACAAGCGTATTTATAATGAATACCCACCCACCCGTATATTAGTACAAGACGTTGCACGGGTGATGCAAGAAGCTACGCAATCGGGAGGTGTACGACCATATGGTGTTAGTCTGTTGATCGCAGGTTGGGATGATGGAATTGAGCCAGAATCGGAGGATGTTGCTGGTGCAGAAGTGCATCCGGATGAGAAGAAGCCATCGGGCAAGACTGGTGGTATCTTGAAGGGTGGACCTATGTTATACCAAGTTGATCCTAGTGGCAGTTACTTCCCATGGAAGGCGACTGCCATTGGAAAGAATGCTACTTCAGCAAAGACTTTCTTGGAGAAGAGATACACCGAGGGATTGGAGTTGGAAGACGCTGTACACATTGCTCTGTTGACGTTGAAGGAGACCATTGAAGGAGAGATGAATGGCGATACAGTAGAGATCGGTAAGTTTAAGAACCTCAATGGATATTTCACTTCTCTAACATCTTCCTAGGTATTGTAGGACCACCAGCCGATCATTTAATGGGCATTGAGGGAGTCGAAGGTGCTCAAGGCCCACGTTTTAGAAAACTGAGCCCTCAAGAAATTGAGGATTACCTTACGAATCTATGAGCTAGCTGCTTTTCTTTTATTCTGCAATAGCAATGAGCTTTAACGTAGTCCCAAGGTCATGATGTATTATAGAATGGCATAAGAAGGCAAAATGAGCAAAGAGATACCATACTGATGTACTTCCATCCATTCTTGCTCTTCAATCTATTGCGAGGTCTCTTCGAATTTTTATTCCATTTATTCCTGTTCAAAAGCTTCGATAAATCGTTAGATGAAATACCCACAAACTAGTTTCATGAAGAGAGATCCTTCACGAGTGCAAAGCTACACTTGTACCCTGCCCGCACCCCTACACATTTCTTCGTACTCCCTCTCTCAAACCCTAGATCAACCAACCTCCACTCCTCGCATCTCTCTTTCTCCCGATCTCCGAGCCCAAGTTGTCCATTCCCATTCTCCCCAATGACATACAGTTCTCCATCCGTCGTCAGCACCAACATGTGATTCTCACCAATGCTGAAATCGAGGATGTCGGCTCCGTGAATATCGAGTGGAATGGGATCGTAATCGACCGAGGATAAAAATGAAGAGGAGTCTTTTAGTTCGGGAATTATAGAGGGGGTATTGGTGCGACCCCAAATGTAAAGATCATGACCGGTGGTAAGAGCGGCGGTTAGGGGGCCGGAAGAAGATAATTTGTGGATTCGTCCAGTGGGAAGAGAGACAAGAGAGGCGAGGAGGGCGGGTTGAGATGCTGGATTTGAAGAGGTGGGTTCGCGGCCGAGACAGGAGGGATAGCGTTCGTCGCCCCAGGTGTAGACGTTTCCTTCTTGGGTGAGGGCCGTGAAGGTGGTGGTGTTGGAGACGAGTTGTGTGATGTGGGGGACGGGGAATGTGAAGTCTGGATTGGCTTGAGAGAGGTATGCTGCAAGAGAGGGGTATTGGATTAGGGTTGTTGGTGTGAAAGCTGAAGAGTTTAGTAGATTGTTGATGGGTGAGCATGGGGAATTTGAGGTTACCTGCAATCTTGTCGTTTCCAGCTGCGGTAGCCTTACTTGCAGTATCCTCGGGTATCTTAGAGTCTGTCCGTTCTTCTGAGGGTTGTGTACTATTCAATCCAGTGGCCTGTTCTAATCGTGCTTGTAAAAATCCATCTGGGGAACCGGCAACCTTTATCTCTTTGTGGAGATCCGAGGGATCATTCGATACTACTGCTAGAATTGCAAGTATATTAGTACCATATTTGATGAAATGATGTATTGTTACGAGAAAAGCTATATTATGTATTGAATCTACATCATCCTCGTGGTCTGTTTGACTGATTGGTGAATAAGATGAGGGCTAGCCTCAAACTCTGGCAAACGCATACTCATGACATATGTACACTCTGTCCAATTTTAAGTAGGCTTCTGAAGTTGTAGTTTATCTTTATCCCTCCTTGAGCTTTAACTAGAACTCTAACATATATCTTTGAACCAGACTTGCCACTCGCTGGAGCCATTTTTTTCTCACTCATAATATCGAGATATCGAATAATGTGATATACACGTGATCATACCTCCATCTCTCTGTAAAAACGCAATAACAAACAAAATAGAAAAAAGTCGTCAAAGTAATATCAACATACCTAAACAAGCCGAAAAGAAGTTTCAAGAATATCAATACTTCCCTCTGCTCTTAATACTCGTTTGAAGCTAAGGACATCTTCAGGCTCATCAGGAAGATCTCCCTCGAATTGCAGTTGATTCCAAGCATTGAACCCACATGCCCATAACTCCATTCTTAGATTACACAAAGATGCAGCGTTGAAAATGTTCAGCCCTACCAAGACAAGAGTTGATCTGATTCTGTTATGATAGCCTGAAGGGGGTTGAGTACGCGAGTACGTCCGTAAAAGGTTCGCTAATGTAACACTGAGTGCGGCTAATTTGTAGGTGGGCTCGAGGTGGGATGTCCAAGTGATTTGGATCATTCCATAACCATAACCTTAACATTATGCTGCACGACCGACTCCACCCATCGCCTTAAAATAAACATCGCTTTCTTTTTATTACAACTTTATATATATATGTTATATATTCAAGGCTCTCGTCAAGATAACCATATCCAATAATTTCAATATAGTTAACCGTCTGTTTTGCATCCGGCGATCCTATCCTATTCAATAGGAAATCTGTCCCCGAGGTATTCGTCAGTATTACTTCAGGCTTCCAAATTCCGTTTTACTGCTGCCTATGGCGGAGTCTTAATTACTCCTGTCCTGACCAAGCGATCAATATTGTTCCTGATCAGCCATCGTTGTACCCATTCAATTCTTGTGTATATCTTCTGAAGTTCAAAAAGATATAGCCTCGAAATTTATTCTTATCGTTCTAGAAAATCTGCAACTGTTTTTTGTATTTGATTCCCCCACGTTTGCGCTTCACGCCGGAATAGCATTAAACGCTTCAAAGTCTTGCGATCTCACAATACCTCCCGAATAGCTGGCTCAGATCTTTCTTTTTCAGCTCTGAGAAAGACAACTGAACAAAATATCTGATTCTCCTCCGTTTGTTGATTGTTTTGCTCAAAAAGCTTGGTTTGGGATCCGGCGGGGCTCAATTGAGGGGCATCAAGCGACTTTCCTCCTAGTCTCGATACAAATACGACCGTGGGTAGAAAACCGTCGTGGATAGTACATCCTCCAAGTCAAAACAGTCAAAATCATCTTAAATGGTCACTATGAACCTCAACCTACCTATACGGACTGCTAGTCGAAGAAATGATGAAAGTCGAAATCACTATATCTCTGGCAATTATACTCCCACCTCTTCAACTGAGGCTATTGCTGGACCAATACGAGAACCAGCACCCGTCAATGAAAGATTAATTGTTGGACTGGATTTCGGGACAAACATATTCTGGGTATGTTTATTTTCACAGCTTGTTTTGCCAAGACATTTGTGGCACCACCAAAACGAGATCCTATGTTTCTGGATAATTACGCCATTCACCTGTGTCGGCTGTTTGTACTCGAGTGCTCATCAAATTCGACACTACAATTTCTGCATCTATATAAATCTTAAAAATCTTAAAAATCTTGATATTATAGTGCTTAATGAAGTCATTTCATTAAATCAGCACCTCACACAAGCCTTTGCAACATAGTTCACTCAGATTCCTACACAAATGCTAACGTTGAACCAGTGTTGCTGTTGTGTACACATCGAACCCCGATGATGTAGATATTATCAAAACTTGGCCCGGAAGTAATGGAATTACATCTGATAAAGTGCCAACAGAAATTGGGTACTCCAAACCTCCAGGATCACCAGTTGGAACTCAGCCGACGATAAAATGGGGATGTCAATTTCGTCCCGAGGAACCTCGACTGCGATGTATCAAACTTTTTCTCGACCGATCTCAAAAATTACCTTTCTATGTTAGTCCAGCTGAAACTGCCAACCAGCTGAAAGAGCATAGCAAAAATGTTGTCGATGCTGTCAGTGATTACTTGACTCAAATCTACAAGCATACCATGGAGACCTTGACCCGCCGATACGGAGAATTATTCATGTCAACCACGAAAGTCGAATTTGTTCTTACCTGTCCAGCAGTCTGGTCTGATGCGGCGAAGAATACCACGCTTCAAGCTGCAGAGAGAGCGGGAATGGGTGATAAGTCAGCAATTCAGATGATCAGTGAGCCTGAAGCCGCTGCTGTCTATACTCTGAAAGCCATCCAACCAAATCATCTACAGGCCGGTGATAACTTTGTAGTTTGTGATGCCGGAGGTGGTACTGTTGATCTTATCGCCTACAAAATCATATCTCTCAAGCCATTGCAAGTAGAAGAGTCCGCAGTAGGTACCGGAGGGCTTTGCGGAAGTGCCTTCCTCAATTATCGATTTGAGGAACATTGCAAGAGTCGGATAGGAGTTGCACGATTTGAAGAGATGAAAATGAAGAAAGCAAAGTCGTGGCAAATGGGACTAAAATACTGGGAAGAATATGTCAAGCGAGATTTCGACGAAGAGAACGATACAGAGTTCAATATTCCTCTTCCTGGCCTAGCAGATGACATAGATGCAGGTCTAGATGGTGGGTTTTTTATTATGACAACTGCTCAAGTCAAAGACATTTTTGAGCCAGTCGTCAAAGAGGTGTGTGATCTAGTTCAAGGTCAAGTTGATGGTATTAGACAAAAAGGGGGTATCGTTTCAGGCATCGTACTTGTTGGAGGATTTGGACAAAGCAACCATTTATACAAGAGATTAAGATCGCATTTCAACAGTGCAGCGCCACCACCTTACAGTGAACGACCAACTCACGCACAGTCTATAGCCTTGGCACAAAGCAATTCTGTAGAGGTAATGCAGCCTATCAATGCATGGACTGCCGTGGTCCGAGGAGCGGTTCTCAAAGGATTGGAAGGAAGCGTGGTGGTGTCCAGAAAGGCGCGGATGCATTATGGAACTTCGTATGCAACGGTGTATGATGAAGATAAGCACAATGTTAGTGAGAGATATTGGAGTCCATTATGGGAACGTTGGATGGTCAGCGATAGGATGCAATGGCATCTAATAAGGTGAATTTAACTTTTCCCTCCCTCCTTTGCCTCGACGGCACCACTAACCCCATCCAGGGTGATACTCTCAACACAGACACTCCCATCTCTTTCCACTATACGCGCAATTTCCGCCCAGGGCAATCACTAATCGTATCCGATGATCTTATTGCTTGCGATTCGGATGGCGAACCTCCGGCGTCCTTCACGAGAGACCTAATAAGCGTGTGCACGCTCACCACGGATCTGGGAGCCGTACCGAAAAGTCTGTATACGAGATTGACGACCACGAGGGGAGTGGAATTTCTTAATTTAGATTTTACTCTAGAGATGGTGGTAGAAAGCGCCGGATTGGCGTTTGAATTGAAAGTTGACGGATACAGATATGGAAGAGTGGAGGTCGAATTTCATTGAAGAGGAGTAGATATCAACAATGAGTTTATGGCCCACAATAGAGGGTTAGTTACGTGAGAAGACAGACGAAGAAGACATGCGGGTTGGATGAAGGTAAATCGGGGTCATCTTTTGATCGATACCATGATCATTTGCGTTGCGTGCATACATATATATTAGCGATATTAAGAGCATCCAGATTTTTATAGTGATTATCGAGCAATTTTATTGAATCCTTTTGAGATTTTCTTGCAGTATCTTATCACATGTATCCAATGTGAAAAACAAGTGCAATGAACAAGGCATTTGAATCGATCACAGTTTCTCGATTGGTACACCTAGGTAGGTAGGTAGCTTTCCGGGTAAACACCGGACGCAAAATAGCTTTGTGATGAATCTCCCACGGCCCCCACACACAATGTATCCTGCAAAGTGCAGACAGACTGCAAGCACTCAAACATTCACCAGGTCACCGTAAAATACGCTGAATAAATGATTTTCACATTGAGCACAAAATATCTTGATATCAAAAGGGAGCCCCGTCCCTTCGTGGCAATCACGACGTCAGAAACAATGCTGGGCGAGAGACACGCGAATTAACCACCAGGACCACCAGTGAGCCTGTTGCTTCAGAGATCAGATACGATGATTTGGAAGCAACTCTCTCTTCTGTTTCTTCTTGAAGTCTTATCGTGTTCCCCTTCAAAATGTCTTCCTTCGCAGCATGTGATCAGCTCAATTAAGAGCCTGATATTCTCGCTGCCCCAATAGTACGGCCTCTTGAATAGGAAGGTGGACCGACCGAGAAACACGTGTTGAGGCTCAGGAAGATTTAATTACTTCGTCTCTGAATAGTTTCAGGCAAAGAAAAGGTCTCTTCCTTCTCGGGCCTTATTGATGATTGCAACACTATTGTTGAGCCTACTTCAATGTCAGCGATCCGTCATAGACACTGCCAGTAGAGATGAAATAAACAAGTGTGAGCTAATAGTCGATTAATTAAATCTTTATGGTGCATCTTTCTCCGCTGTATCCAAGATTGCAAAAGATATCAAAGAGTAGTGACTAAAGTGCTGCAGGCCGTCTCTTGCCTAAGAAACTTTGAAGCTAGAACAAAGCCTCACAAGAGGATACTGATTTTTTCTTCGGACATTCTTTTTTATCCTTCGCCGGGAATGTCTCTATTTCAAGGGGCCCGGAATTAAGCTGCCCCAAGTTTTTCAAATCCTTTCTTCTCTGCTAGAGTGGGTCTTTTTTACAATTTGTATGGTTGTTCAGGCATACTCATAAAACGATAACTTTCAACCCATCGACATCTTGTCGCTGGACAATATGTCAGATCAACCCTTGTTCTTACATCCTTCCCCGCAACTTTGCAAACACTGCAAGGTTATTCCATGGCCACGAGACATACGCTATGAAACTCAGAGTAGGCCATTTCCTCACCACAGAATCTTCGGCTCTCTCCAAATCTCAGCTGATGCGGGCTGTATTCTCTGCCAATACTTCTGGTTACGTATAATCTCGATGCTTATGGATCGACAAACTACACTACCATCTGCCAAAACCCCATTGGATTTCTATATTCGCGTGCTATATGGCAAACGAGTGGGCATTTCAGTAGATGTAGGAGAGGCAGCCGGTCATGATTGTCTTCCTATGTGGTTCCTCGAGCCCAATTCTGCCGAAGAGAAAATTCCAGCGAAACCGGAATCTCGACGTATCAAACGTATGTCATTTGTATTTTCTCTCATTTAGCTTGCCACAAGCCATACTGATCTACGTTTTTCTTCCAGAATTTGCCCAAGGAGAAGTCTTGGAGGATCTCGAAGACTTGGTCAATACGCAAATTCAGCCTTGGATTGAAGCCTGTTATAATCGCCGAGAGAATCATGAGAATTGCGGCCGTACAGTTGGTACGAATATCTTGCCAACTCGCCTCATTGATGTGGGAACCATGAATAACGAAAGCGTTCGGCTCATCACGACAACGGATTCCATGGAACCCTCCAAACATCCATACTTGATTCTCAGTTATTGTTGGGGTAGAGGAAACGACGTTGCAAAAACGACCACAGGGAATCTTGAGGATCGTCTACGCAGCTTCGATATTGCTTACCTTCCTAAGACCATACAAGATGCAATAATTTTGACTAGACTGATGAACATCCGTTACCTATGGGTCGATGCAATTTGCATTATTCAATCCTCAGAGAACGATGACTATAGCGAATTCCAAACGGAGGCGAGCAAAATGCGAGATTACTACGCCAACGCCGAGTGCTGTATAGCTGCGTCAGTTGCTAATGATGCAGCGGAAGGATTCCTCAGAGAAAGGCTGCTTGGGCGGTACCCAATCCAGTTCATTTTCCTAACCTACCCAGGTACTGTTGGTCCGGATCGGCAATCTATAACACTGCATTCAAAAGAAAACGTCGCGACATTGAGGAATGTTATTGATGAATCGCCACTGTCAAAACGTGGATGGTGCTTACAGGAGCTTTCGCTTCCACCACGTGTACTTCATTGGACCTCTAATGGGCTATACCGCGAATGCCAATCTTCCTACTTTCTAGAGGGAAGTTCTAAGAAGTGGGAGACGTATGATTATGCCGCTACTGCTACTCCTCGGGATATTTTAGCGATGCCTGACGACAAACTCTTGACCCACGATGGCTGGCATCCCTTACTTCGTTTGCTATCGGAGAAAGGCTTAACATTTTCCAAAGATCGGATATACGCCATTCATGGTATTGCTTGTCTCATCATAGAACGACTTAAGGTTGAATACTTTAATGGCGTGTTCCGGCCATATCTTGCTCAAGGGCTTGCGTGGAACTACTCCCCTAGAGGTCCTTTCGATGCATTGCCGGATGTATCCGTAGAACCTAGGGACGACCGTTTTCCTACCTGGTGCTGGGCCTCGAATGGGCCGGTTCAGTTTTCAGATATCCCTAAAGGTGACTGGCACTCCTATATTCATGATGTCCATCCACATATGTTCCCGACGTATCCAGGAAACACGAGCTTGACAGACATCATCGACTCGAAGCTTCATATCAAAGCGCCAATAATCCATGTCGACCTGGTTTATGAACCTTGGGAATCCTTCCCTCCTTTAGGGAACGTTAATATTGATTGCGATGATGGGGAACCACTAGACCATTACTTTTGGGTATGGCTTGATAATCAGCTTGGATCAAATCATTCGACGGCCACCAACATACTACATAATTCTAGTCGTGATACATTGCTCAAAGGGGTTACTGCCCAGGTACTGCTTCTTGGAGGACGGCAATCTCACACACACTATGGGTTATTGGTACAAGAGATGGGTGATCAACCCCAGGGGTGTTACCAAAGATATGGATTTATAAAGCTGAATTGTCAGACTTCACAGTGTGATGGAGATGGAATGCGAGCGAATAAATTCGAAGATAAATTGTCAGAAGTTATTCTTTTATAGCGTTGACTTATTGAGTCCAATAAATTATGGTCACAAAATCATGGTTTCATCGAGCCAGGACAAATGGTCCATTCTAAAATTGAATAGTTCTAGTTATGTGCAGGGTACTCTGTCTCTTCAAAATCCGAAGAGTGAATACAGTCGCTACACTAACCTTGAGAATCAACCATTCAGTTCATAGTCAGCCATATCAATGGCTACCTACCGAGGTTCCTCTCCTACTTCTCAAACAAAGCTTTCTTCTCACAACCCACTTGTTTCTCAGTCTGGGCCACCTGGAATTGCCTGAGTACTCGACATTACATTTCAATAACTCTTCAAGTACCAAACACAACAATCAACTCAACTCCATCGCATTTTTGTACTCCCCCAGACCGGACATCATATTTTGTTTCACAACAGAAAAACTGTGAAGAATTCAGCGCCATGTCGGCCAACACAACTGCCTCGCAACAAAATGACATGGAATTTCCCAAGGATAATAATACTGCAGATAAGAAGATTCAAGGCAAGCTTCCAATTTTCTTCTCTACCATATATCATTACTAACAAGGCACAGTCAACACGACCCCACCTCTCCCAGTGAGAAGAAATCAGTCTATCACTGGAAACACCAAAACACTCCATAGATTTGGAGAATTCCCTCGAGAAATACAGATTAATATCTTCAAACTCGCACTTCCTGACCCGCGCATCGTCTATCTCAGACTTGAACTCGTGGCTTCGAAGCATGAAGAAGGAACCTGCTTCCACACGAGCGTGCGTAAAACCAGGGCACCAGGCCTGTTACCTCTGCTTGAAACATGCACAACGTCAAATGCCTCAGTCTATCTCGGAGATGGATTTACTAAGATCAAGATTGAGCCTCTGGATGGTCACCCACACACGATCAACAAGATGTCTAGTGGGTGCCATCAGATAGGCTTCGAAGACTGTGGCGATGAGGTTCTCAAATATACTTAGGGCTAGTTTGGATGTAAAATCCGTGCTGAATCCACTGAAATAATCTGCACTTTGTACTATTGCGGATTCTGTGGTGGCATTAATTCGCTTTAAAAAGAACGGATTATTAATCTGTGGTTTTATAGTTTGGATATCAAATCCGCCAAATAATCCGTGGTTTTCTAGAATATTCAATTTAAATTTCAATTCGATATTAAAACCCTATATTTAAAATTGAGAATTATATAAAAAGCTTTAATAAAGTAATAATCTTGAAAAAGTACTTAGAATTAGAAAAGAAATACATTTTGATTTTATCTTTCTTTTTTCTTTTCTTTTCAAAGAAAGAACCTTTTTTTAAAGTATTTTTGAAGCTATTTTTTATATATAAAATTATTTCAATAACTAATAATATAATCATTACCCAAAACACTTCAAAAGTATTTAAGAAATCGAAAATTATTAATAATAATGGCAATCGAAGATTTATATCTGTACAAAAAAGAGGTAGAAAATCTCGAACTCGAAGTCTCTTTCCCCCAATTTGTTATTCCAAACAAAAGCTTAAATCTATAGCAAAAGTAATCGAATCTTAAAGTCAATTTCGAAATTATAATACCTCCTCCTTTTCTTTTATTAGAGATTCACTATCCAGCTTCTTTTATAATAACGATATTACCTTTAATCAGAAGAAGATATTTTTTATAAAAAAGAAAAGCTATATACAGGTATTTGATTCAAATAAAGTTTATTTTAATTATATTAATTTATAATATATAGTAGGATTCCGAAATTGATAAAAGGCTTTCAACAAATATTGATATAGATAGTGATAAGAATAATAACAATAAGAGGGATATTGATAATAGCTATAATACTAATCAAGACTCAAAATATAATATTTGTAATAATTCAGAAAGTGAAAAGAATTTCTTTACTGATATTATTGAAAGGGAGGATAAATTAGTGGATCCGGAAACTAAAATTAAAGATATTTCGAAGAAATCTACAAATCAGTTTAAATAAAAACCCTATAAAAAGCTTCTTTTAAACTTAATGCAAAGTTATTTATAGAAGATTAGTCAATAATCAGATTAATTCACTAAATGGAAAATACTTTATTATAGTCAATTTGTACAAGTTATTACTTTAAAGTATAAGATATGCATTAATAGTAATGAGAATCTAATTGGTGATCAAATTAAAAAGAAAATCAATTCGATATAAATATCCTCTTTTTTTATTATTTATTTAATCTAATTAATTTAATTTAAATCAAGGAATATTATATAGAGTATCAGTATTTTCTTAATCTATCTGATTGAAGTATTAGATTCAATAAAAAGAACAATACTATACAGCCTTATACACCTAATTATCTATAGAAAACACTTCTATAAACAAGCAAAGCTAATAATCAAAAATATCATTAGCATCGAAGTTACTATACAGAAAGCTAATCGATTCTTCAATTTCTATTTGAAACTCACACAGCTAGTAATAAATTTGCATATCACCCTACAGCTTTAATACAACAAACAATTATTTCTTCGAATAAAAAGAATAATCTTACTGATTCAATATACTCTATACCTTTCTCAAATAAAAGTGTTAAAAGATAAAATAAATATAGCTTTGGGATACACAAAATAAGGAATTCATATTTTTGAGATATATTTTATTATTAACTGATTTATAATTAGAAACAAAGCAATATAAATAATCTATTACGAGCTATACATTATCGAAAAAACCTTGAAAAACTATTTCTTTTGAAATTGCAGATAATTTACTTCATATTAATAAATCTTTAAAAGATTTTAATAAATCGAAAAACCACTTTAGTACCTTATATATTCAAGTTAACAACCCACTACCCTTTTAACATTAAGTATACTATATAATTATATAAAACTATCCTAGCAAATATAAATCTCTAAAAACTGATATTGCTTTCAAACTTATTGATTTCTTACAATATCCAATGCCTAATGTTTGCCAATCTTATGGTAAGCTACTGATATTTATATATATAAACCCATTTCAAACAAAGTTTGTGGATAAGATTTGTAAAAAGCTTAAAGAATAATATAAAAAGGAAAATAATAAAATATCTTTATTATCTGCTTCTTTATAATAAGCTTTAAATAAAGGGTAATTTCCAAATTCTAATAGTTTTTGATTTGGTAATTCTATTTATTCTATTCTCTTTATTATATATTTTTATCAATATAACCTTTATATTTATTTAATTAGATATTAATATTATATCTTTTAATACCTTTATCTTATTTGATATTAACAATATATAAATATAAATAACACCTATTCACCAGTTCTAGATATATGAAATAAAGAATATAAGTATATAATAACTGGTTAATAAAAAATAACAAATGAGAAACAATTAGTGAAAAACGACTAATAAGAAATAGCTAGTGAGAATGGCTAGTGAAAAACAGCTAATAAGAAAACTATAAAGTTTAGTCTCTCAAAGTATAATATCCATTAATAATAGGAATTGCCAACTCTATTATTCTTCAAAGAAAAATACTATCTATATTTTTAATAGTTTGCTTTTTTGTATAAAATGCATAATATTATAATATTATAAATTAAATCAATAATCTATTCAATTAATAAATAAAAAGAATAGAAAACACACTCTCAAAATGAGTAATCATAAAGAATTCAGCTGCCTTTTGAATTGCTACAAGAACAGCAGTATTTTACCTCCAATACTCTTTACCAAATGTAAATTGATCTGAAACCTTTTTAACTAAATGTTGAAAAGGGGCTTTTTTCAAAAGCAATTCAATCGATTTTTAATACTTTTTAATTTCTTGTAATATAATCGCTATACTCAATTAATAAGAAAAAAGCTTATAAATCAAGAAAAGGTTTACTTACTTCTCGCTTTTCATTGGTAAGCTCTTTTAGCAACTTCTGCTTTTCCTTTTTTAAACTGCTTTCTTATATTTTGAACCTTTGCTTTCAAAGTTTTCTTTATATTCTTATTTTTAAAAAAAGGTAATCTTCTATTTACATCTAGCTTTTATTTATTTGTTGATCTTTTTCCGATATTAGTATATGATATAGTTTCCCTATATAGTGCATTTGTAGTTTATATTATAGCTACAGGATTTCCTGGAATATAGTATTTTCAAAATCTAGATTTGAATTATTTCAGTCTATTATAGAAAAGATTCAAATATTTAAAAAGTGTATACCTAAAAAGCTTCAAGAATAGAGGCGAAAGGAATAAGTATTGAAAAATTAAATGTTTAGAAATGTGTGTTTATGAATTAATATATTATATATCGTATAATTCAATCAATCATACTACTTATTTCTCATAGAATATAGTTATTTTGAATATGAAAATATTATAAATAGCATAAACAATACGCCAGCCTATCACATCAGATTCAATCACGAAAATAGCACGAAGACCTGTACATGCGGGATTGAGAAAAGCCCACTGCACTTCTTTCAATGTTCAATCAATAATCAGACGCGCGGCGACTGGCCACTTGCACCAAATCGACTTCGATCCGAATGGGACGCGATAGCATATGTCAACCGCGTCCTGCGAACACAACATAGCTTTACTGACCTTCTCGCTAGATCCAGATTCTATACTAGGATATGCCCAAACTACGCGAAACTACGCGAATTCCAACCTGCTCCAATACCCCGAGGATGAGCTCTCCACCCCAATCAACCTAAGACCCGCACCGACCAGCCATAAGCGCTCCGAGCGCTCTCCCGATCGACAGCGATCGACCTGATCATCCGCCGACACCCGGATGGCATACGAAACAAGGCCCTCTAAAACAGGACCACAAACCCTTAGACAGAACAGCCGCAGGATCGCCATGAGCGGTACTGAGCGGGGGAATACCAGAGGCAACAAGCCCCTGATTAGCTAACATTACACTACTATGAGCGGCTGGAACGCTAGCGGCCTGTAGGCCCGCTCCTTAGTACGTCTAGAATACCCCTTGGGAGGTCAGATATTAGACGTTAATCACTATAAATAAATAAATAAATAAAACATAAACAATACGCTTTTAGAAACAATAATAATAATAATAATAATAATAAACATTATATTTATAATATTAAATCTCTTCTAAGCTTTAAAGAATCAAAAAGATATTAGTAATAACTAAATCTAATAAGAAAAAGCTATAAAGAAAGCAAAAAGAATATTCGCAAAAGCGAAAAGCTAGAAATGTATACAATCGAAAGGCAAAAATAATATCTAAAGAATTAGAAGTCGAAAAAGAGAAAGATAGGAAAAAGTATTAGATTTCCTATACTTTGAAAGTACTTCGCAAAACTTCTGATTTTTTAAAGGTATTGAAGAATAGACAAGATGAAATGATTATACAAACTCGATTGAATATCAAAATGCGACAATCCCAATACATGAATCTAAATAAAAATCTGATTTTAATTAATTTTATTTAGAAAAGTGTTAAAAGCAAAAAACCTTATTCAAAACAATAATAATCCTGTATCAGAGTCTAAATCAGATAATTCCGAAACAGATTTTGAGGGTTGGAAAATTGATATTGATAAGAAAAAGAAAGAGAAAAAGGAGGAATCTAATAATAAAAAAGAGAACAATGAAGTTAGAGAGCTTAAAAAGATTGACTTAAAAGATTTGAATATTAATTAAGAATTAAAATAAGTATAAAGGTATAATATTTATTGGTTTTATAAATGCTAATATATAAGTTTAGACAATTAGACTTTCTAGGATTTTGATTTGAATTAGAGCTTGAAAAGCTAGCGTAAAGTAGTTTATAACTAATTTAAAGAATCTAAACAAAAAAATTGATGAAGAATCTTCGGATTTTTTATAAATAAAAGATTTGTCTGGATAGGTTTATTTTGATTTTTTCTTATTAGCTATTTCTCCCTAGCCATTTCTTATTTACTATCCCTCACTTATTATTATATCAAATTATTAATATATTAATAAAGTATATTTGTATCCTAATAAACTCCCTTATAAAATATTCAATTATCGATAATATACTGTTTAGAGAAATCTTACTTCTTAAAACTCTAATATTTTAAAGTTAAAAAGAGAAAATAATATTAAGCTTTCTAGACCTGAAGAATAATAAACCTCTAATAAAAGCTATAATTCAAAAAGATATGGATTTTGGATTCCTAAAGATGAAATGAAATATAAATAAGCTTGAAATCTATTCTATTATATAGAATAGAAAAAAGATCTCTCTCAATTTCTTAAAGAATTCGAAGAAACACTAAAAGCTATAGCAGAAGATAATAATAAATAGAGAAACCCTGATGATTACTTTCTATTCTAATTATATATACTTATCAAATTCTATTTCAATACAGTATTGCTTTTCTTTTTCTCACACTTTTCGAACTCTTTTTATCTTATAATAATCTCTCCATATAGCCTCTACAATTCCTTATCGAAAGTAGTTTATAGATTGTAACGAAATAGAATCTAATTCATTATTGCTTGAATTCATTATTGTATCATCCATAATGCTTGAAACACAATTGATGATATAATTAAATTGAACTTCGAATGAATCTTCTTTGAAGCTATTTTGTTGAATAAAGTTATATAGAGCGCACAAAGTATAAACTATATATATTTGAATTGTATATGAGTATTTTTGTTGTTATATTAGAAATGGAAAGCGCATTTTAAATATTCTAAAAATTCTTTTAACCTCATTTTGTAAAGAAGAATATCGAAGATTAAAAAGCTCTTTTAGTGTTTTGAATATCTTATTGGATTCCAATTGCTCTTGTAAATGATATCTTATCTCTTTGAATAAAATAAGAATCTGCCTAGTATTTACATATCCTACATCACCTAGATAATAATAACCTTCTGGAATTCATAACCTTTTGAAATCAAAGCATCTAAAAGCACTTTTTAATTATTCACAAAATCTTTCTAACCGGCTAATATATAGCAGAATTATAAATTGAAAGTAACTATTACAAGAACATTCTATGTAGTATACCCTTTTCGATTGAAATAAGCAGATCGATCTTCAAAAGATATTATTGCTGGAATAAAGGTATCATCAAGAGCTTCTAGACAATTCGCAAAATATATATAATATTTTTCATTTTCTGCTATTCGAGGAAAAGCGAATTATATAATTGAATCCGGTAGCTTTACTACTAATGGGTATAATATCATTATAGTATTTAAAACTTAATAAAACTATCTTAAAGCACATTAGAATAAACCAATAAGTAGATTTATATAAGGTGTTTTTCATACCTATGAATTGTTTCTTCAGAATGAGAAAAGGCTTCAGCTATACTATGTATAGTTCCATGCTGATCTACGATATAGAGAAATACGTATAGTTTTTAATTAATTGAAGTATATTGAGAGTATTATAACTTTGTTTTTTTGTAATAAAATTCAATTAAAAGTCGAAAAGTGGTGTAGAGGTATATATAATTGTTCTTAACAATATTGAAAGTGTTTAAAATCAAGAAGAAATTATGTTTTAAATTCACTAGAAATACCAGTTTTTTTTTTTGAAATTGGAATACAATAAAAAGAGCTAATAATAGTAGCTAAATTATAAATCAAGATAGAAATAAACTGTTCAGAATCATTAACCTCATTGTTGTTTATTATGAATAAGAAAAAGACAGTTTACAATCTAAATCATTAATAGAATCTAAAGTTATAATAGAAAGAATATTGAAGAATCTACTTTTAAACTAAGTTATATATATTCTAGTATATAGGGAATAGAAATGTAAAATAATCTAAATCGAAATCAGAGATGATTTGAAAGAAAAATAAAGATACCCTATAAACTTAGATATTTGAAGTATTAATATTATTATAATATTATATGGATATAGAGTGAAAAGCCTATAAAAACCTATAAAAATGCGGATTATTTGTTAGATTAAAAACAAGAACTACTTTTTCTAATCCTCGTTTTCAATCCGCACCCTTGTTTTCCTATACAAATTTGGTGAAAAATGCGGATTATTTAATATCATTTTAGAGTGATTCATCTTCTCCTTATCTCGAAATACACTAAATTTATTGAAATACGGATTATTTAATGGAATTCGCGATTTGATATCCAAATATGAATTCAAAATCCGTTTTCAAAAAGAGCGGAATATTCAGTGGATCCAGTGCGGATTTGTACATCCAAACTAGCCCTTATATACGACCTTCTGAAGATATTTTTGTGATGGACTGTGATTAACTATGCTATTTACATTATTATAACAAATCACTCAATCTCGAGAGGCTTACCCATATTGCCGTGAGCAAATTTGAATGTTTATCAGCCAGCACACCTTCGATCACTGACAAAATGACCGGGCTGCTGGATGATGTCTATTCGCGACGCCCAGGTCTCAAGAGGCTCAGTGTTATTGGTTCTCATGATTGCGCAAGGGAGATGCCTTCTGCTACTCGACTTCTTAACATTGATAGAAACTTGCTCAAGCTAGACCTCAAAGATAAGGACGGGCGTCAAGTTCCGTCTGAGGAGGCGGATGATAGGTATCGAGTGTTGGAGAAAATACTGAAAGCGCAATATCTTTTCGATAGACATTTTGAATTATATCGCAAAGAAATAGAGGAAGAAGGAAACAAAAATGCTATCGAATACTGGAAGAACGTCGAGGTAGTCGATGTTTTATGTTGTTGGCCTGATGAATCTCAGGATGAATCGAGTTTCTACATTCCAGAGATCGACTCCTATGTGCGCTGCAACGATGATGGATTCTTGGCGACCTTGCCAGAGAGTACGCCAGATAAGTTGATAAAGCTAAGGGATACCCTCAAATTAGTAGAGCTCGGAGATGAGCAATGGTTACACGAGCTACATCAGGAAATATATAGGCTTAGATCGAAGCACAGTCATACGGGTTTATAAGGAATTGCATTTAAATGTAATGGGGTTACAAAATCTTTTCCTGGGGAAATTAAATGTACGCAAGTGAAGCAATACCAAGAGGTCAAATTCATCTAGAAAATTGATGTGTAGTGACCCATTGTGATTTATATGACTAATGATGGGGGGAGGGGGTATGCATATATAACCCACTGCGAGGCCTTTTGATGTTATCTACTCCCTTCAAAGTCTTCCTTAAACAGTGAGAAGAAGCTGCTTTCGCTGGTTTGTATTCAAGCTACAAGTCTTTAGTCGAATCTGAGCATCCTATAACATAGCTAGCTCTACGAGAAGCCAGTGCATTGCTACATTGTTGACAAGCACACTTGTCATACTAGCTGCGATACAATCAGTAGCTTAAGCAGCACATCCACAGCCATACCATAGACGGTGGGTGCTTCAACATATCCGAAAGAGGGCCTAAATCGCTAATGATGCGGGCTGATAGTATAGCAATTGAGAATTGTAACACTGGATCAGATTGCCGGGTCACGAGAATTACGAAAGTGCTGTGTCTGACGTGGAAAGATGCGAGAGGGGGATACGAAGTCCACCTGTTGCATTTTTGCATGTGTTTCGGAGCAGAGCGAAAGGAACTTATGCGTTGGATTCTACGGAATTTTTATATAGCGTATATTGATTATATTTCTATACTCAGGAATCCAATTTGTATGTAGTCATATAATCTATATATGTTAAAAGGAATAGAAGTTACCGGTGCTAAGCACGTGTAGTGATTAGTAATACAGCTACCTAAACGGGCTAGATTAGACGAACTATAGACAGGCATATTGATCCCCTTATATAATATTATAGAAAGATCAATATGCTTATATATATAACTATATAGTTAATATAAAGGCCTTTTCCATTCAATATTCTAATAGGTTATAAAATCCGGTTAGTATGGCTTTTGGATAGAATTGATGTAATCAATATTATATTTAGCTTGTAAAGTTAAAGAGTATACGACATTACTTTATATTCAGCTTGTGGAGTTGAAGAGTGTGTGACATTACTTTACGATTAGTATATGATATTACAATCGATTATTACTACTAACTCACAGAGTTAAAGAGTATACGGTGCTATCTATACTTATATATTTATAATCACAAATCTATGTGACATTGTTTATATAGAAAAAGAAAAAAAAAAAAAAAAAAAAAAAAAAGAAAAAACTCTGCAAATTCTCTATATAAATATCAAAATAAATAATATCAAGGAGTAAGCTAAGTATATCCCAATTTTTACCCAAAAGATTTACAAAAAATAGTTCTGACAAATGAAAATACAATTGAGAGGAAAGGATTAGTTTTATACAATTGAATTCACATTTCAGGATTATACAAGGATCAGAGAACTTGGGATGAAGATCGATGATACTGAGATCTTCTCAATTATTGAAGATATTATAACAATATATATTAGATTTAATATTGAGAAGAAAACTATATATTTAAAAAACAAAGCTAATGCACTTTTATATATATGCAGATCGCTTAACGATAATAATAAAGTGTTAGCCAATGAATACAATACAATATATATATTATAGAATTATTTGAAATCCAAATATTTAAGAACAAATAATATCACAGCAAACTTGTATCTAATAATAATTTAGATATTTATCTTTAAACCCTCAAATCAATCAGAAATGATCATTATTGAAGTTTAGAATAAACTCAAAGAATATCGATACAAGTTTGATGTAACCAATCTTATATTCAAAGATTTATATAAAGATTAAGCTTTCTTTTTAATTCTTATAAAAAGCCTACCAATTGATTATCAAACAATAATCAATACTATAAATGTTCAAAGTATACTAACAGTCGAAAACAAGATCAAGTATCTCATAACTAAAGAATTTAATATTAAAAAGACAGAACAAACTTATATCGCTAGTGGAAAGTATATAATTCCAGATCGATAAAGAAAACACAAAGGATCAAGTCCATTTGAAAAGCAAAAAACAAAATGATAATATAAAATCCTCTGCTTGTTATTTGTATAAATAAGAAGAATATTTTTTATATAATTATAAAGATCTCTTATTTGTACAAGCTTTAATCTGTAAATACTATAAAGCTCAGTAATGGAGAATAATATTTAAAAAGACAATTAAAGTATTATTCTCTAAAAAGAGTAACCAAGCTTATTTTATAGATAACGAGAGCCTTCCAATTAATCTGATTTATTAGAAAGCGAAGAAGAATCTAATAACGAAAAGTGCTGTATATTCAAAAAGCTTGTTTATAAGATCACCCCCTTTTTATTGATATATAGATATTAGTACTTTCTTATATATATTTAATCAACTTTTTCTTTTTAGAAATATTAAGAAAATAAAGAAAAAGATAATAAAAGTTAGTAGAGGAGTTATATATTATAATCGGATAGGTATTACTATAATGGAGCTGGAAAATAGGAGTATGATTTTACTTTCAAAAATATTATATATATTAGGATTAAAAGTTAATCTACTTTTTGACAAGAAGATCTATAAAGCTGGACTCAAGGGCAAATTCAATTCAGATATATATACTTTCGAAAGAATAGAATAAATATTATTAAAGTAAAAATAAATAGAGGAATTTATATAATCTCGAATATTGCAAAAGGATATAAAGATATCGTTTTTATTGAATATAAAGATTATTAATGATATTAAGCTAAATAAAATTATTCTAATATCTTCTCAAACAAAACCAAAAGGATCTAGAAACTTATTTATTATAATACAAACAATTTAATCATTTTAGCCTAAAGAAAATATAGAATCTTTATAAAGTTATTATATTGGAAAAGCCAATCAAAATCCTATCCAAAATCCCTATATACAAAATTTGTATATTTATCAAAATGAAAAACCTAATCCCAAAACAATTCAGTCCTTACAAAACAAAAAGACTAAAGCTCATTCACTTTAATATTACTAATTTATTTTCAAGATTATTATAAAGAAACCACTATTTCCTATTGATTATAAACAGTTAAACAAAAGTAAATTGGATTTTGACCCTAAAAACAAAAGATAAGCTATATCAAGATTAAAGAAATAAAAAACCGAATTGGAATTCAGTATTAATAACAAAATAATAGCTGCTTGGATTGATAATGTATCAAAGCTAATTCAAGCTATTAAAGAATGGAACTTTGGAATTCGATTAGAATTAACAACTATAATATCATCTTATCAGAATGGAGCTGCTAAGAGAAATATTGATACTATTGAAGCTGATATGAGAGCTATACTAAAGGAGTCCGGATTGCTATTAGAATTCTGGAATAAAGCTGTTGAATATGATATATACTATAGGAACAAAACAAATATTGGATTGATTATCGACGATAGTGTAATTAACTCGATCGAAGTATTCATAGGATCAACCCCGGATATCAATTATTATAAAATATGGGAAAGCAAGTGCTATACATATATCAATCTAAAGACAATCCCAAAGGATCAACAATACAACAAATTACAAGATACAGTTCAAGAAGATATTTTTATAGGATACTTGGTTACAATTAATAAATATATTAGAGTATACTCATCAAAACCTAAATTATACTATACGAATAAGCCGAATAATTATAAACGAATTCAAAAAGAAAGGAGATCTAGATTTGAGAATAAGGAATTCAGTATTAGGTTCTCAAGGTATAGAGAATGTTATTCCTAATAGAAGATCTAGAGATAGACTTTACAAAGTACAAAAGAAATCAGAATGCCTATCTGATTTATTATAAGATATTGCTATCCCTAAGACTCCAAAAGTAATAATTCCTAATATACTTAAGATAGATAATATCCAGAAATTCAATAAAGATAGTGAAGGGAATATTATCAAGATCAATCCATTTGAGAACTCAATACTACTTTCAGAATAATAGAGGTAGAGATATTAGATACTGTATCTACAACTCAACTCTCGACCGAAATCCCGATTACACCTATGAATATAGATATTTCTGAAAAATACTCTTTTCGAAAACATAAGTGAGATAATAATAGATCAAATAAGCATATCCAGAAACTAATTAGAGTAATAATAACAATACTTATAATAAACCCAAATAGAAATACTATCAAATATATTATAATCTCTATACCGCTTATACCAAGAATCGATATAAGTATTAAAATAAAACTATCCGAAAACCTACAAATAATCTTAAAAAACCCTATAGATAAAAACACAGCCTTCCCTATAGAATAGATTCTAGGAATTCCTATTCCTATTATATATTATCAAGTAATCTTAGACCCCAAATATAGAGAAAAATAAAAGCAAGTTATTGAAGAAGAGATTAATTCATTAATTGCAAATAATACCTGAAAAGAGTATATTCTATTGAAAGAAGAGAATCTTATTTAATAAAATAAGTATTCACAATAAAAACAAAGGATAATAAAATCGAGAAGTTCAAGGTACAATTAATAATAAAAGGTTTTAATCAAATTCTCGGAAAAGACTATAACAAAACCTTTGCTTCTATAATGTAACTCGATACACTCCACTTGTTCTTAGTGATTATTGTAAAAAAGAATTTGGAATATTAATATTTCGATATAAAGAATGCTTTTACAGAATCCTATTTTAAGAAAAAGATATATCTTATATTACCTTAAGGATTCAAGGTATTAGATAAATACATTTTATATGTATTGAGAAGTTTATATAGCCTTAAACAAGTTAAACGAGATTGGAGTCAATTTTTAAAATCTTAATTAATCAATTAGGGCTTTACCTAAAGTCTTATTAATCCATATCTCTATATATACACTATTTGCCAACTCAATCTGCTAATATATATCAATAATATAATTATTTCCTTAATCTCAAAAATCAATTCAATTAGTTTTCTATAATACTTTCATTACATTTAATACCAAGAACCTAAAGAAGATTAGTAAGATTCTAGGTATTAGGGTTATAAAAGATTAAGCAAACAGATCTTTTATATTAAAC